CATGGATCAACGCCGCCGCACTTGCCCTTGTAGGGGTAGTCGTTCGTGACCGGACCGGGGATGCCGCCGCTTGGGGGCTTCGAGCCGCCAGAGCACTTCTTCGTGACGTAGCCGTTGGTGCCAGTTTTGACGTAGTAGTCCGCTACGTAGCAGCCGTCGGAGGTCTTATCCCAGATGTTGTTCCCGTTGACGCTGGTTCCGGAGGTCTGGCAAGAAATGTCCACCTTCTTGCCCTTCTTATATGTGAGCTTCACACCATAACTGGTACCGGGTCCAGTGCGGCAGTTGACGGTGTTGCCAGTGATGGGGTAGGCCGCATTGGCGAAAGAGAGAAGACTGAGGACAAAGGCGACGAAAATAGTCGCTTTCATGGTGAACATGTTGAAGGAAACTTGTAGTACGTAAAATCTGACTTATGTGAGGGGATGAGGGGATATTAAGGAAAGTGTGTATCAGTATGAAAAGGAGTGTGAGCGAACTTGTTGGTGATGCCCAGGATTGTTGTGATGATTGAGAGGGTGTTGGAGGTCTTATATAGATCTAAAATGAGGATTTTTCTGTTTGAATCTCTGAGATGCATTGCTCGGAGGATGCTATTTCCTTCCCGAGTGTGCTGGGATGTCGGATGGATTATTCTAAAATAAGGCCTTAGCGAGTCTCCTTGCGCTTCGTGGGGATCGGGAAGGTTACCTTAGAGAGTATTAGCTAGATTTTTGCATGCATCAGCTTTAAGATTGGACTCTTCGACGTGAACCATACTCAGTCGACTTAAGATTAACAGGAAAATTTTCTCGACTGGCATGCTGCGGGTGTGTCAATCATGATGGCCGTCTGACATGTAGCGATGCCGAAGAGGGTCCGCTTTCTTCCGGTCTCAAGTCACTAAGACAAATGCTGGAGAGCAAATGGAGAATCTTGGATCATGATGCGCGAACCATTGGGTCCTGGGCAAAATGGTGCCGTACACAAGAGATCGCGTTCAATTCCAATGCGGAGTTCTGGAGACGGTTGAGCTGAACATGAGGGCGAGAGATAAGGGGTAACAGTGGACCACCCGAGGCCGCCGTGGTAAGTTGGGATTACACTCAGCATTATGGACAACATGTATTATTAGTAGTTTCGGTATAATATTGGACCGCAAATACATGCGAAGACACTGAGGACTCCAGGCCGAGGTCTAAATTTGTCCAGTTCCAAAATGGGGGAGCAAGGGGTCAACCGTGCACCTGGAGAGCAGAGCATAAGCAGACATCTCAATCAGTCCATGAGAAAATGGACAAATGCTACTCAGGTCCTTCTATCTTTGGAGAGTCGCCAACTATAAATAACAGGTTAAGGTAGGATTGCGATAAACTTAGACCTGCTAATCCGAATCGGGATAAAGGGTGAATTAAACCACCTCAATAGCGGGGCAGTGCTGCAGGGGCCGACAGACTGTTAGGGGATAAGCTTGGTCTTGAAGAATACTCTCTCATTCCATTACAATGATTACATTCATGTCAGAGTCTCATACGGGCATACCGAGGCAGGCGCTTATGGATCCGCTAACCACGTTACACATCCTGGCAATTGAGTGGATGCGAGAGCGAAAGTTCATCCTATGATACTACGCAACAGAGGTTCTTTTTCCCGAATGATGATGGCTTCGCTGGGGCAGGCCTTCTCTTCGGTGGCAGGAGCTGGTTAACGTAGAGGTGTTTACCCAAGCATCCATGTTGACTCCACGAATATATAAAGCAACAGCCTCGTCCTCGACATCTCATCGTTAACCAGTCAACATCCACAAATCAAGTCCAATCTTCTCTTCTTCTTCTCTCCTTCTAGCACTCACTTTTGCAACTACCCCACGCATTTACAATTCACAATGAAGTTCACTGCCTTCTCCGCCATCGCCCTGGCCATCGCCTCTGTTGCTAGCGCCTACCCTATCACTGGCGACACTGTCAACTGCCGCTCTGGGCCGGGCACTAGCTACGCCGTCAAGAAGACGTACAAGAAAGGCCAAGACGTGAAGATCACTTGCCAAACCTCCGGAACCAGCGTCAGCGGCAACAACATCTGGGACAAGACCTCCGATGGCTGTTATGTAGCGGACTACTACGTCAAAACTGGCACCAACGGCTACGTGACCACGAAGTGCAGCAGCGGTGGCAGCAAACCCTCGGGCAGCTACTGCAAGAACCTCAACACGGCCGGAGTTAACCTGATCAAGAAGTGGGAGGGCTTCGTTGCCAAGCCCGCACCCGACCCGATCGGCCTCCCTACTGTTGGCTACGGACACCTCTGCCAAAAGAAGAGCTGTTCCGAGGTGAAGTACAAGTTCCCGTTGACTAAAGCCACTGCCGAGCAGTTGCTTAAGGACGACCTTCCCAAGTACAGCTCCTGCCTCGCCGGTCTTCTCAACAGCAGCAAGGTTAAGCTCAACGACAACCAGTGGGCTGCCCTGACCTCGTGGGTTTTCAATGTCGGCTGCGGTAACGCGAAGACCTCGACTCTCGTCAAGCGCCTGAACAAGGGCGAGAATGCGAACAAGGTTGCCTCGGAGGAGCTGCCTAAGTGGCGCATGGCTGGCGGCAAGGTCCTTCAGGGTCTGGTCAACCGTCGCAAGGATGAGGTCAACCTCTTCAAGAAGGCCTCGTCCAAGCAGGCGTTCCCCAAGTGCTCGTAAATTCACCCAAGGCTTCCTCGTTTTCAGGTCTTCACTAGGTACGTGTTATCCCAGAGCGTGAATTGTGGAATTCTTGCTAATTGCACCGTTGTGTAGTCAGACCAACGACAGCTACAAGTGAGAAAATATTCGGTTTAGGATGAGAGAGGCCATTGGACGAGGGACAAAGGTTGATGGAGAGCAGAACTGAACTTTGAGACTTTGAATTTCGTGATAATACTTCGTTTCTGGAGCCGTACATACTTTATCTTCTCCTCTATTTTTATTCAATAAACTTCTTTACCGCCTACGCTGTCCGTGGTCATTAATACCTTATGCTTTATATTTTCCCGTCAATGGGCGACAGAAGCATCAGTCCCCCTAAAGCTAAGGCCGTTTCCTCCTTCGCCAGAGGTGGCATTTTGTAGAGTTTTGAGAGGCTCCGAAAATCGAGAAGAATCACAAGGCCAAATCCGTCATAGTCTACCAGGACAACTCTATACCCCGATCTCAGAAGAAGGCCTCGGTTAACGAAATTCCTCAGCCATGGCACCCCGGTTGAGCCAAATTCTGCTGAGCATAAATTTCATCGTCACTGCTTTTGTAAAATTACCAAAGTAATCCGATTTGACAATCGAATATTTTGAGGTAGAATTCAAGCGCCGCAACGACGAGAAAGCTAGGCAGTGACCGTAGGTCCTAGCTGAGCAAGCAAGCCGTTGGGGGGGAAGGGGGTGGTGCTGATGGCAGCGTTGGAAAACCTCCCAGAGCTCAATTCTCTTCGACCTCCAGGCCGGTCACTGAAGGGGAATTGGAAGGAGGCGGTAAAGGATAAATCCTGTGCTGAATGTAGAGCTTTTGATTGGCTGGTAGAGGATACAGATAACAATGTCGGAATGTGGTCACTCTGGGGCCCAATGCGAAGGTACGGCGTCACATTAGGTTCAATGAGCATTGGAAGGGAGGCATGGGCGCTTGGCTTGGTCTGACTGGTTGACGAGGGATCTGGCACCCGTGCATGCAAGACTGGGGCGATCAGCGGTTTAAGTCGCCGGTTTCGAAATCTTCACGTGTCCAAGAGCAGTGTAGGACCTTCCGAATTAACAGCGCAGTCGAGTCTTCATAAATTCAGTGGGATATATTTGCCGTCTTTGATACAGTGGGTTAGGCGAGGTGTATTAGACTCATGGATAATATTCCCAATATGAGTATGTTTGACATCCTTAGCCGCGAGTCGAGCGTTCCTGGAACGGGTGGACGTGTGATTCTAAAACAACCAGCGCCTCCTTGGCGCCATCCGCGGGTGATTTGCGCCGTTTCAAAGTCCAGCCGTGGTGCAGACCGCCGTCTAACCCGCATCACACGTCCGTCCGGCCATTGATGCAGGACGCATTTTCGAGGAGCTGAATGTGCGTTGTGCCGGCGAGAGAATAATGGAAGAGACTCCAAGCCCGTTTACATCATTCTCACATTAAACGCACTTGGGGATATTGGCGTCGTCTGGTATTAAACCCCAAACAGGGTCTGGCCAAGATGTGCATTTTGAGCTCCGACTCGGGGAGTCTCGCTTCGATCGCTTCCACCGTGGCCAGGGGTGTTTGCTGACCAGTTGTTCGCACCTGTATAGTCCCGCTGCTGAGGACGTGCGGACATTTTCACACATCGGAACAGATGGGATTCTTACCGGCCTGGCTCGGCGATCGGCCTGGAGGGGTAGGAAATATATTCCGGAACCTGTGCGTACTGGGAAGTAGAGTAGGAAAACTGACAGAGAAAATGAAGTCTAGAGAGATAGAACCCACCACACCACGGTGAATTACTTCGGTGTACCTCCGCAGTTAGTAGGTATTCCGTTCCTGTCCGGAATCAGCAAATATCGGAAAGTGGGGTTCTTCCTTCCAGAGCTATGAAGCGGCGACCAATTGTCTCGAGCATTCGCGAGCACCCTCAATCTATGCTCTAGCATCTATTGCAAGGTGAGAAAGACAGCGTGTAGTGTTCTTCGTGCAGGCTGTCTTCTCTAAACTACATTTATCTCGTTTGGTTTTCAGAGCCTAGACTGAATTTCCGTAGGGCACCCATTAATTCTCTGGCACTATTGCGTCGGGAAGGAAAGAGCCCTGGACCTATTAGGAATTTCCGCGCTGAACAGCATCGGCAAAAGTCAAATGGCCAGGCGGTTTACAAGATGTGGATTATAGTTCCCATCTGGCTTTGAGCTCTCTCCCCACCTCGCCCTCTTATTAGACCAGGACTTGTCTAGAGTCAGCTAAGTATCGTATTCAGCGAAAACACTGTTCTTCCGTGCAATCCATCGTGTTGTTTTTGTGGCTTTCTCATTGCCTACTTCCTAATGAGTACTCAAACCATCCTCCGGCAGGCCTCCAGCAAACTGGCTGTTGACGCGGCCGTTGCCTGGAACATTCCCGTCCCTCTCATCATCAACGGCAGGGACGTAACTACCGACAAGACGTTTCCTGTCATTGGACCTCTCACTAACAAGAAGATCTGGTCTGCCGCCGCTGTCTCTGATAGGCACGTGGCCGAGGCCGCACGCGCCGCCGAGACTGCTTTCCCCGCCTGGTCAACGACTAAGCCGTCGTTTCGGCGCGACATCTTTCTTCGCGCTGCCGATGTGATCAACAAGCGGCGCGCTGAGCTCGGTGAGTATATGCACCACGAGATCGGCGCAAACCAGGATTATCAGGACTTTATCTTGGGCCTGGCCATCGAGGGGCTTAAGGACACTGCGGGCCGAATCGCGGGCGCGGTACAGGGTGAGGTGCCGGAGTCGATCCACGATGGAATGCGCGCCATCGCTCATAGGAGACCATATGGTGTTGTGTTGGGGATTGCGCCTTGGTGAGTATTCGAAGAAACAGTGCCCCTAAGCCAGATTATCCTAGGAGAACAGAGCACGTCTGACGATGTCCGTAGGAATGCCCCGTACCATCTTGGCCTCCGCTCCGTCACCTACGCTCTCGCTGCTGGAAACACTACCATCCTCAAGGGCTCTGAGCTCTCTCCGCGTTGCTACTGGGCTATCGCTGACGTCTTTCGGGAGGCTGGCTTGCCCGATGGCTGCCTCAACCTCATCTTCCACCAGCCTGCTGACGCTGCCGCTGTGACTGAGAGCATTATCGCCCATCCGGCCGTCAAGAAGATCAACTTTACTGGCAGCACGAAGGTCGGCAGTATTATTGCCGCCTCTGCGGGGCGCCACCTAAAGCCTGTGCTGATGGAGCTCGGCGGCAAGGCAAGCGCCGTGGTGCTGAAGGACGCCGACCTCGAGAAGGCGGCGCTGCACTGCACGAGAGGAGCGTTCCTTAATGTAAGCTTACTTGACATTTTGAAACGAAAAATAAAAGAAAATATGAGAATGTTCTTGCCAAGCAAATGCTGACAAAGGGTCCAAAAAAAAAAGGCCGGACAGATTTGTATGTCTACCGAGAGAATCATCGTCCACTCGTCCATCGCCGAGGACTTCAAGGTAGCCCTTAGCGCTGCTATTGAGCGCACCTTCGAATCGGACAGCGACATACCTACCCTCGTGACCGCAGCCGCCGCATCCCGGAACCATGGGCTCGTTGCCGACGCTATATCCAAAGGCGCTAAGGCCATTCCGCTCTTTGGTGGCCGTAGTGTTGAGGCGGTCGAGACCCATATGCGGCCCGTTGTGCTGACGGGCGTCGACAAGAGTATGGACCTCTATGCGTCGGAGTCGTTTGGGCCCAGTGTTTCCTTCTTCACTTTCGAGACTGAGGCCGAGGCGCTGGCCCTTGCAAACGACACCGAGTATGGGCTCGCGGCGTCAGTGTTCACAGAGGACCTCCGGGCTGGGTTTCGCATCTCCGAGGCCCTGCAGTCCGGCGCAGTACACATCAACTCGATGACGGTGCACGACGAGTTCGCACTACCGCATGGTGGTGTTAAGAAGAGCGGGTTCGGGCGGTTTAATGGATACCAGGGTCTCGAAGAGTTCTTGTATTGGAAGACCGTTACTTGGATGGAGTGACAATGGAAGAAAGCGCCTCGAAGTGGATAGTGAATGTGAATGGTTAATGTTGGCAGGTTGGCAGCTTGGGCCAACTGTTGCCAGATGCCGAAATGACCCTCTCGTAGTTCTTAGTTTCCGTGGGAAGAATTTCCCCTTTGGGGAATTTCTTCCTAAGAACAATAACATCGATTTCACCCACAGTTAAATAGATGCTTAGATTGGAAATTTCGCTCTATTCTATCTCCTTCCTGCCAGACTCTTATACATTGTATTAGGCTGTTCTGCACAGTAACTGTATCCACCCCACATTTGATGCGGTCTGCACTCGACTAAACCCTACTGCTTCTGTGTAGTAAAAGAAGACTTTTTTTTTTTTTTCCCTTTCATTTAGGTTCTTCTAATCTCTAGTTCAAAGTATCAAAGTATCATGTGCCGATATTGGATGTGAGAGACATGAGAGACATGAGAGATCCAAAAGAGCCATTGAACGACCCAATCTATGCCTTCTAGTAACTGTAACCACATACGGCGTCTATTTAGCCTTGAGGCTATGTGGAAAAAATCAATTGATACCTTTACAATCTTGACTTGACCGTATTATCCGCCTTTCTCACATACAGATGGTCTCGGCTAGGGACAAGGTGGTCAAGATCCGTGGTATTGACATACTCGGGGCTCGCGTCTCGCATCAAGTCCGTCATTCCACAAAGAGCCGTGGCGGTCTCGATCTCATCCTTGAGAACTGCACAGATAGAGTCGGTCAGTTTGTAACTCTGGAATTTATGTATCCCTCGACTTCGGAGCGCCAGGGAGTATGGATACAATGAAAAAAAGCGATAAAATAAAAAGGAGGGGAAAGAATCGGACGTACTCTCAATGGCATGCTCGACTCCCTCTTGGCCATACCCAAGAGCGTACAGAAAGGGTCTACCGATCCCAACAGCCGACGCGCCTAGACAAATAGCTTTGACCACATCGGAACCCCGGCGGAACCCACCATCCACGAGCACCTCCATTGCGCCGAAGACCTGCGGGCACACTTTGTGAAGTTCTAATAGTGTTAGGATAGCGGGCGGTGCTGTATCCGCTGCCCGTCCGCCGTGGTTACTCACAACGATGCCGTTGCACCCAATCCGCAGCGCTATCTCCGCGTCTGCCGCCCGTTGCACGCCCTTAATCACGATGGGGACGTTTCCTGCGATGCTCCGGAGCCACGAGATGTCTTCCCAGGATAGCGTGGGATCGATAAAGGATGACAACTGCCGGGCTAGGCCTGCGCCCTTCTTGTCTCTCTGGATTCCTACTGAGGAGCTTGTCCTGAACGCTTTCGCGCGGTCAGCCTCTGAGGCTTTGACCCGCTCATCGGCCTCACGCTTCGACATAACCGGCAGGTCTGCAGTCACGAAGATGGCCTTGACCTTACCGGAGGCCAGAACACGCCGCACAGCCTCCACCGACTTCTCACGCTCTTTGTCAACATAGAGCTGGAAGAAGGCATGCTTGGGCGTTACTTCCAGGATCTCATCGTGCGGGTATGAGGAGGGCGTCGAGAAACACTGCACGATGCCTGTAGCAGCAGCGGCGCGAGCGAGCGCGAGCTCACCCTCCGATCCGGCTGTCCGTGCCGCACCTGTGGGCGCGATGTAGATGGGGGCCGAGATTGAACATCCGAAGAGCCGCGTCCGTGTGGTCACGGAGCCGACGCCGCGCATGACGGCCGGGCGGAGCCAGATCCGCTGCAGGAAAGTGCGGTTAGCATCACGTGTGATATTGTCGTTCGCCGCACCGCTGATGAAAGCCCAGGCCTTGGCCCAGAGCGTCCGGCTCGCTACCTGCTCGAAGTCGTCAAGGTTGATAATAGCGTCGAGCGCCGGGCGACCAGGCATGCTGGAGTGGCCGGTGGAAACAGTTATGGGTGGAGAGGCATTGGAAAACGAATGAGGAGAAGGCGTTGTCGGAGGTGCCTCTCGTAGCTCTTCCCCCGTGACAAGTGGGGTTGCTAGGTTGCCGATGTGGTACTTGGTCTCGAGCGACTTCTTAATCAAAGAGGGGGAGTGCACCTCATTGTACTCAGCGGAAGCATCATGTCCTGCGTACCGGTATATTACTATAACCCCAGGATCAAACCATGAAACAGGGTAGGAGTTAGTATGGTACGTATTGGTTTGGTCGTAGGAGATCATGAACAAGCTGGTGGAAAGGGGGGGGAGAGGGGCAGGATTCAGGATGGTCTTGGATAAATTAATTCTGGACGCACCCTCTGCGCCACCTGGGTGACGAGGCGCGAAATCCGTCATGTCGTACACAGTTCCGTCCACCACAATCCAGAGATCTTCTGGGAAGTTGTGCCGGCTGAGTTCCGAAGGTGACACCTTTTTAGCCATGTTCTAATGCTCTTTCTTTCGTAGAGTATGCCGGACTAGGAAAATATTGGCGAATATTCTGGTTTCCTGCGTACGAATGCTTCGGTTTAACAAAGTGACTGCTGGAGCATATGTTCTGCTAGGGTGTGTATTTTTTTTTTTTTTTTTACTCTGGGGAAATGGGGAAGGTTATAGAGGCACTCAGTATGCCTTTTCTATCTTAACCCTTGAGGAATGTTCCGAACCGCGAGAAGTAAAGTCTTCGGCAACATCACGTGCTTAGATCCTACCCGATAGGGATCGGTAGTAACGGAGATACTCTTCCTATGACAGGCCTTTGTCTTATCAGGTTCCGGTCTGTGGGCCGTGGTTTTCATATATAATCCCCTCCAGTAGGTTCAAAATCTTGGTATACTCTGTCTCTCTACTTCATCTTTTTTTACAGAAATTTCGATTACTGCAAACGAAGTGGCCTCCCATTGATAGCATGGCTCGACCGGTATTCGGAACATTACTGCCGAAAGTACGGGACGGTGCTTAGTTGTAAGCAGTAGGTTGATACCCACATCAATTTAGAAAGCAACTGTTTGTCGGCGGCAGTTGGTCCCTCGGCGCTTTTCTTGCCTTCCAAAATTATCCCAGTGCCCTCTCCAATACGAGCTCTATTGACATCCGAGCGATACACATGTCTCCGGGCATTGAACTAACCGGGGCCTATGATAGTGCTCGTAAGAACTTCAGAAAAAAATGGAGATTTGAAGTTGGAAGTACAGATCTCACGTAGTGAGATAGAAGGGAACGTCAACGATGTAGTGGTAAGCTCAGAGTCTTCCGGTCAAGCTCACTACATGCGCATGTTACTGATGGCTGACTTCAGAACCGTAACAGGTGGCTGGGTCATTCAACAAGCTCTCTACGCTTGCTCTTGCTGTGTCTCTCATGGCAACATGGGAAGCATTGCTCTGCACTCTTGGTCCTGCACTCCTTAGTGGTGGCCCTGTGTCACTCATATATGGCTTCATCCCTATGAATAGAGTCCAGAACAACCTACGAACATGAATCAGTGACGCGGGCTGCCTAACTAATGGTTTACTCTCTCTAGTCACATTTATTGGTACAATATGTACAGCTATGTCCCTAGCAGAGCCGGCATCTATGTGAGTAGCCCAATGTAACACTACCCATCGCCTCATGATGTGACCTGGTTAGGATTAATAGCTTGTGATCTGCCACAGGTTTCCCTTCGCAGGTGGCCAGTACCGTATTGTGGCCGAGCTCAGCCCGCCTCGGTTTCGGACGGTCTTGAGCTGGTATTCCGCATGGACGACCGTGTTTGGCTGGCTCGCCTTCAATGGGACCGCGCCATTCCTCTGTGGGACGCTGATCCAGGGCTTGATCGTCCTTAACAACCCCGACTACACGCCTGAGAGATGGCAGGGCACCTGCTTGTTCTGGGCCATCCTGGCGGTGGCTTTCGTGATCAACATCTACCGTGGCGATCTGCTTTCAAAGCTAGAGTCTCTGGCGATGATCCTGCACCTCATCTTCTTCCTCATAGTTTTCATCGTCGTGCTGGCGCTCTCGCCTGATAGACACAGCTCAGCTTTTGTGTTTACCAAGTTTCAGAATAGCACAGGCTATAATAGCGATGGGATCGCTTGGTCACTAGGCATGCTTACGTCGGCCTATGTCATGGTTGGTATGTGTTCTTGATCAGCCGGTGTCCTTTGTCCCAGCGGCCTCCCAAGAGGGACAGAAAAATTGAGAAAGTGATGGAAGGCGAGAGCCAAGCCAGAGCAACGAATTAACACAATAGTGGAACTCCAGGCTTTGACTCTGCCATGCATGTCGCTGAGGAGACGAAGAATCCGCGCAAGGACGTGCCTTGGGCAATGGTCGGCTGCCTCCTGGTGAATGGGTCCATGGGCTTCGCCATGCTCATCGCCGTTCTATACGGCATGGGTGACCTCGACACAGCCATCAACACACCGATCGGCTTCCCCATTGTCGAAATGTTCCTGCATATCTCCAGAGGTAGTAAGGCGGCGGCTACGGCAATGACTTGCACCATCGTCATCTCGGCCTGGTTTGCCGCGGTAGGGATGCTTGCCTCATCCTCGCGCGCCCTGTATGCGTTTGCGCGTGACGGCGGAACTCCTTTTGCGTGGTGGCTGTCCCGACTGCATCCGCAGCGGCGGGTGCCCACCAACGCCGTCATTTGTGTGTGTTCCTTACTAACGTTGCTTGCGCTCCTCAATATCGCCTCCACGACTGCCTTCAACGCAATCCTATCTCTCGCAGTGGTGGGGCTGTACCTCTCTTACCTGATCTCCGTCAGCATAATCCTCTTCCGGCGCTTCTGGAACCCGCAGACCCTACAATACGGACCGTGGAGGCTCCCGAAGTCAGTTGGCATGACAGTCAATGTCTTTTCTATGATCTACCTAGCTTACACGGGCATCTTTCTCCTGTTTCCACCCCTGCAGCCCGTAACTGCCGATAACATGAATTACGCCTGTCTAATTCTTGGCGCTGCATTGCTTTTCAGCACGTTTAACTGGTTCCTATGGGGCCGCAAGCACTTCAAAGGGCCCAGTGATTTAGCGACCAGTGATTGAATTTCTCCAGCTCTGATAGAATGAGGGAACTAAGTTTGTTTTTCCATTTTTTCCTCATTCACCATTTATGATCTCCTTAGGAAAAACGCGAGCCTGCGTCATTTTATTTTAACATATGGGATTGTTTGGTACTATGCATTTCTTTATTTTTCTTAAAAAAAGATTAATAAGGAAAGGAAAAGAGAAAGAGAGGGATAGGAGGTGGAGTTTGAGCTCGGAGACTGTAAGACTGGAATTCCCATTCCCAGCCACATATTTGCTATTATGTACCACAATCAAGATGTTGCCATTTGACCTCATTCCTCTTACTAAGTTTTCTCCGTGAGAGGGGAGAAATGCTATTATGGACTGAAGGACTGTATGCCGAGGTAGCTTCTTGTGACTTGAATATTCCGGTTATCCCCATTAATACAACCGCAGGCATAAACGTTGAATGCATTGAGGATCCAGCGCAAAAGCGGTGCACAGCCCAGGCCCTCTTTTCCTTTCTCGATGGCCAGCACTCCAGTGATCCACCAGAATCAGGTCTAGAAACAATAAAATCCATTCCACATTCCGTGTTTCACACCATTGCAAGGCCCGTGAGCTTTCTGATTCCGGGTTCCGGATGTGACAAAGTGGCTCGGAAGTCCCGAGGCGTCCGCCCAATGCACATTTCCCCCCGGGGTGAAACAACTCTAGCTTGAATCTTTCCGCCCAGGTTGAAGGGGGAGGGGTGGCAGGGGTGGCAGACACGGCCGCCCTATGACCTTGCTGGGCTGAGCACGGTTAAAATGCCACACCAATCCGTACCACCTTGATATTCCGCAGAGCCCAATATCAAAGAACCAAGCTCCAGCCTTAAATCAGCCCACGTAACGAAATATTTATCAAATTAGGTTAAAGGAATCCTACCTATCGACTCACTGCAATACCATATACGTACACACCACCGAGAAGCAAAAAGAGCCCCCGCAAAGAAACCAAAAGAAAATGTCAGCTGCCCGTTATACCACGACCCCCAACTACTCAGCCAAGATCCTCGTGAAGGGCACCCCGGAATACGAACGCTGTCGTACGAACAACCCTTCAGCCGACACGCCGGCCCGCTACCCGCGGGAGATTCACGTCGTCAAGTCTGCTGAGGATGTATCGGCAGCCCTCAGACGGGCGGCGGAGCTGGGTGTGTGCGTGGGTGTACGATCCTCGGGCCACATCATGAACGTGCCATCCCTCATCGATGACGGTATCCTCATCGACACAGTAGAGCTGAACAGAGGCCTTGACTATGAACCGCAGTCCAAGGTTATTAGCTTCGGCCCTTCAGTGCGTGTTGAGGAGGTCGCAGAGGGACTAGCTAAGATCGGGCGCTTCTTTCCGCACGGCCATGCACCCACGGTCGGTGCCGGGGGTTTCCTCCTGGCAGGCGGGCAGGGTTGGTTTGTGCGCGGCTGGGGCGCCACGAACCAGACGTGGATCGTTAAAATGGAGATCGTGGTTCCTGATGGACGGATCGTGATCGCCAGCCCTACCGAGAATCGGGACCTCTGGTGGGCAGCACGGGGAAGCGGCCTCGCCTTCTTCGGTGTTGTAACGCGGTTCTGGTGCCGCACCATTGCGACCTCACTCATGTGGGAGCGCACGTTCAAGTTCGAGATTAACACCGACAACTACGAGACTCTGATGACGTGGGCCATTGAGAGTGGCCGCTCCACACCCAAATATGGCACGGACCTTAACCTTACCATCGATTACCCAGAGAAGTATGACCCTCGATTCACAACAGACGATGTGCCGCCTTCTAGGAAGTTGCACATGTCACTCAACTTGCTGTGCTACACGGACACGAGGAGGGAGGCCGTCACGCTGCTCAGCGCCTACGACAAGATGCCAAAGAATGTCCATGACTGGCTCTTGGAGATGAAGCCCGTCCAGAGGCGGACCTTTGAAGAGGTCTTTGCTAGAAAGCGGGGTTTCCTTGGGAACTCAAAGAATGAGCGCTGGCAGATTAACAGCATCATGAATGACCCCGCTGTTCCTCTCTCTAGGGTACGTGACAAGGCTCTCCTCAGGACCTCCCATCTTGCAAAGATGATTGACTGAAGCATATTAGCTCCTCGAAGGAATCAAGCCAGCCATGCTCGAATTGCCGACACGAACATCCTCGGTGTTCCTCTGCCACTGTGATATCGTGCCTGACGAGGAGGATGCGGCGCTGAGCTTGCCACAAGACCTGTACATCTCGACCATTACAGGGTGGACTGACCCATCGCTGGAACCGGCCATCTACCAGCCGATGCGCGATCGGTACCGCCGGGCATTCCCAGTCGCCGTGGGCATGTACATTACCGAAATTGATGTTAACAACGATGACGCGAACGTGAGTGTTTTGCGAAAGTTCTCTCCGCTCCCTTTTACTTTCTTTCAGCAAGCTGATTTCTGTCCCTTTTCAACACATAGACCAAGGTCTTGTCCGACACAGCTCTGGCGAAGTTCCTCCAAATTCGCGAAAAGTGGGATCCCAAGGGACTTTTCCCGAACTACAAGGCTATTGTTAGGGTACACGATAAGATTAACAAGCTGCAGAGGAAGTCTCTGCTATAGGGTGCTGTTATCAGAGGCTCCAAGTTCCCTGCGTCTTTCTGTTGAGCTGATTGCGGCCGTGGTTGGCACTTGGGTACATGTCTGCGTTGGGAAGGATCGGAGCGACAGCAACCGTAGTAAGGGTAAAAGAATCACCCTCGTATCACGAAGATTACCAGTACCTTAGGATGAAATTGCATTGCACCCATATAGCAAACCTGCGCCCTGCATCTGTACCTAGCAATGCCTGTGGAAATCCGTCGTCCTGTTCTTAAACCACTGCTAACTACTTCGCAGTAGGATTGGTAATAGACGTAGGAAGGAAACTGCTTTTCCATGTGACCGTAATTTACCCGTCCGTAATCCTTTGCTGCAGTTGAAGAATTCCCTTTCTTTCTTTTTTCTCTCTCCTTTTTTTCTTTTTTTTTTTTTTTCTTTTTTTCTTTTTTTTTTTTTCCCAAATTTCCCAACTTTTATTTCTTTCGTATCTCTAGGACTTTCCCAATTCCATCTAAGACATTGGAATCTGCCTCCAGCGTTATGCGGGGTTGGATTCGGAAGTCTCCGGGCCGCACAAAGACTCCTCTTGAAAGATGTTCCAAGCGCTGCCGCTTAAGAGGAAGGTTCCGCTGCGGAAGATTGCTGACGTCGCAACTTTGAGTATTGTGTTCCGAGATTCCGCAGGCAGCTCAACCTATCTACTGGCAGGCACGGCTTTCACCGGATGTATGCAATCCTGTTTGAGGACAGCTGAGGGATGGAGAACCCCTACGTTCCGGATCTTTCGTTTCTATTTCGTGTCCTGTCCCACCTCCAATTGTATTCCCCCCAATGATCTCGAGCACCTTTAGACCCTTCAATTGGTTTTTAGCACTCGAACTGTCGTCGCGGGTTCAATAAAACCGCTGGAACCTACTTAGCCAATCATTTTATTGCTTTTTTTTCCCTTTAAGAGAAAGGGACAAAACAAAAAAAAAAACGACCTAGCTTGCCAAGAAAGTAATCTGATCAATAATGGCTGCCCTGCCACATCCCCTCTCCGCCCTGAGCATCGAGGAGACCAACATCGCCAGAGACGTTGTTGTCGAAAGCCACCCGGGCTCTCTGCTTACGTTCCGTCAGATCTTCCTGCGCGAGCCTCCCAAGACTGAAGTCGTCGCCTTCCTGGAGGTCGAGCACTCGGGGGGGCTGGCGGCTGAGACCCCTCGCCCCCAACGCCTGTCCCAGGTACTCTACGATGTAGTTGGCCCCAGCAAGGTACCCGAGTACCATGAATCCGTGGTAGATCTGCGAAAGAATAAGGTCGTGCATCATGAGGTCGTGAGCTCCAAATTTCAAGCCGGTCTGACGATGTTGGTGCTCCCCTCCCCCCGCTCTCACTCTCTTTTACTACTTTCGACATATTATCCACGGTTTGTTAACATCACTCACCCCCATAGGGAGGAATTCGAGGACCTCATAAATGCCTGCAAGAAATCTCTGCTATTCCAGGCCAAGCTAGCAGAGTTGCAGCTACCCGAGGGTTTCGACATCGTCATCGAACCCTGGCCCTACGGGGCCGCAGACCCCGAAGATGGCGAGACCCGATTCTTCCAAGGCCTTATCTTCGCCCAAGACACCAGGAACGGGAATCCGGATTCCAACTTCTACCCCTATCCCTTACCCTTGATTCCTATCATGGACGCCCGAAAGAAAGAGATCGTCCGCATTGACGAGCCCGCTACGGGAGGCAAAGGCGACGGCCTGCGGGAAAAAACACATGACAAAGGCATCATCGATCACTGCAAGGCCTCCGAGTACGTCCCAGAGCTACTTCCTGGCGGCCCGAGGACGGACTTGAAACCCTTGGCCGTCGTCCAGCCCGACGGTCCGAGCTTCACTGTCGAGGACGGAAACCTTGTTAAGTGGCAGAAATGGAGCATGCGCCTCACTTTCAACCCGCGGGAAGGCGCCGTTCTTCACGATGTCCGATTTGACGATCGAAACGTCTTTTACAGATTAAGCATGAGCGAAATGGTACGATGGCACCTCCTATCACACCCTCCAATGCCAACTGTGTTTCCTCCCCCCCCCTTCTTCACAAAAATTATTAAGCTTAGTCTATTGAATACGGTTGACCATTTGTAAGCGCCTACTGACTTTGTTTCGCGTTCTGTAGACCGTTCCGTATGCAGACCCCCGTCCACCATTCCATCGGAAACAGGTATGCCAACCTCATCTCGGAATTCGCTGGATTCTGTAACATCTCGTGAGGATTATAACTGATAGATTTTCGGGCGAATGACTTTGGGGACGGATCCCTGGGCCACACCGTTAACTCTCTGGTGTTGGGCTGTGATTGCCTGGGCCTTATCAAAGTAGGCGACTCTCTTCCCCAACCTGATACGTCCATCGCGTGGAGGATACCTCTAACCTGTTTCCGCAAATACATTGAACATTATTCCTAATAATTGACGCACCTACTAACTAAACCCCCATATCTCTCGCACTATAGTACTTTAATGGAGTGTTAACGAACGCTCAAGGCACCGCTTACGAACTGGGAAATGCCGTCTGCATGCATGAGCAGGATGACGGTGTCGGCTGGAAGCACCTGAACTGGCGGACTAATCGCTCGGTTGTGGCGCGCCGTCGCGAGCTCGTTATCCAGTTCAGCATTACCCTAGCCAACTACGACTACATCTTCGCCTTCAAATTCGACCAGGCCGCAGGCGTCACAGTTGAGGCTCGCGCCACGGGCATTGTCTCTGTTGTTAACATCGACCCCGGCAAGGCCACCGATTATGGTACCATCGTGAGCCCTGGCGCGCTAGCTCAGAACCACCAACACCTCTTTTGCGTGCGAGTGGATGCGGCTATTGACGGACATGCAAACCGCGTCGTCCAGGAGGAAAGTTTACCTGTGCAGATGGACTCAGTCAGCAACCCCAAGGGCAATCTCTACGAGGTGCGCAAGACTCCCATCATTACCTCGATCGGGCTTGATGCCCGGCCCGACCGGAACCGGGTGTTCAAGATCCAAAATCAGTCCAAGATCAACCCGGTAACGGGGAATCCCGTGGCCTACAAGATCGTACCGCCGCCGTCACAGCTGCTACTCGCGAGTCCCAAGAGCACCCAATTCCGCCGTGCGTCCTTTGCAAGCCATCACTTCTGGGTGACCAAGTACCGGGACGACGAGCTGTACGCCGCTGGACCCCGTCCTCTGCAGGCTAGGCTCGAAGTTGGGGGCATCACGGATGCGGCGGCCCGGGACGAACGTGTCTTAGATGAAGACATTGTCATCTGGAGTGTCTTCGGCCTGACACATAATCCACGCAGCGAGGATTGGCCAGTCATGTATGTGGCTCCCTTCTCCTCTCCCTATTCAGTTTCTCCTCCCTTTCCTCCTAGTCAAAGCCCCTTTTCCAATTTCCTCTCTTAACTCGATCTCTTTTATCCCTTTTCGGATGGAAACGGGCGATAAGGGGCTTGATCTTCGCGAGCTAACGTTGTTGTCTTTTGCTTACAATGATCTGTTTACTACATGGTGTATGTCATCATACTAACCCAGTCATCTTCTGAGTAGGCCAGTGGAGATCTTGAGGTTGAGCATCACACCGTCAGACTTTTTCACCCAGAACCCCGCTCTGGACGTTCCATCTGCAAAAGATACCACCTCGAAGCTGGCTGATGCTATGTGCTGCGAGGTAGTCAGGTCTTGATGAGCTTTATGGATGATGTAGATGGTGAGAACATTATTCCGAAATTGGGAAATGACGTGCCTAGTTTTAAATTACAACTGAAGTGTTCTTAGCAATCTCCGCCTTAAGTACAGGCAAATTCTGAATGAAATTGATTGTATAAAGCCTTGGGACCAAAATTCTGGGGAGGGACTCTCGCCCTTTGTATATAGTGGTGACGTTCCATAAACTTCTAGCTTCAGCGGACCATGATGTCACGATTGGCAGGTTCACTAGAATTGATCGGGGGCATCCTGGTCTCGAAGAAAACTCCCATGAAAACAATTGAAACTATTAATACTTCCTTTCGATGTCTTAATATTACTTCAAAGTCCAGAGGAGGTTGATGCGTTATATTTGCTCTTATTTGAGTGTTATGGTTTCCACATTCTCTTGATGAAGGACTGCAAGCTACAATACGGACACTTTATCCCTGATACAGCCGGCAAGTGTGCCTCAGATAGGTTCCTATTACGACGCAACATCTTCACCAAAATATTCCAGTCTGGTGGTCAACCCAGACCCTTATTGAAAATATATGTGACATCTAGTTGTGCCACCTAAAGCCCGGATGCTTCCAGTCCAGATCCTGGACCTGCTCGACGGTAAGTCCCGTCAGTTCCTCCTCGGCGTTGCGCCTCTCCCTCTTCTTGTTGTCCGCCAAAATCCACAGGTACATAGCCACTGCAATGGCGAAGATGGAGGACTGAGCCGCAAGGTTGAGCCCGTTGCCGATGCGGAAGAGGGGAGCATCCGTGGGCAAGAAGGCCCAGGTCGAGATCAGTCCGCCAAGATTGCTGAAGAAGACGTTGGTGGCAATTGCCGAGGAACGGGCTGTGTCAGACACCACATTGGCGGAGACGTGGGAGTTGGTCAGGGCCCCGTAGGCGTAGATTCCACAGACTGGCAGGAAGGTGGCACCATAGCGCACGCGCGAATTCGAGGTGGCCAGGAACATGGCGTATCCTATGACGCCGAAGGGTGCGCAGAATATTAAAAAAGCGCCGCGGTTGTCGAACTTCCAGCTGAGGAAAGAGATGGCAACACACATAACCGTGCCGACGGCGTAGGGGGGCACGGTAAGGAGCTGTTGTGATACGACCGATCTGCCTGGGAAGATGGTCTGGACGATGGTGGGGAGGAAGAAAGAGATTCCGTGCACGGTGATAGTGTCGAGTAGGAAGATGACCGAGGTCGCGAGCCCGACAGGGTTGAGCACGCCCCGCAGGAACTTCGCCTTATTAAAGCTGTCAATGAGCTCTGTGGTGCCGATACGCTCCGACTTGATGCGCTCGATGGCGAGCTCTTTCTCTTCGCGGCTCAGGAAGATGGCGGTCTCCGGGCGGTCCGTCATGGCAAAGAAGGCGAGGAAGCCGATGACTGCAGTAGCGATGCCTAGAATGGAGAGGCTGTTAGCCTCACCCTAGATGAAAGGAGCTCAACTTACCTTCAATGGCGAAAATCATTTTCCAGGACCGAATGGACCCAAAGTTAGATAGCCTCAAGATCGCCGAGGCCAAGAGCCCGCCAAAGGCACCAGATAGGGATGCAGCCATAATGAAGAGCGAGAGGCGGAAGGTCAGCTCGCTGCGGCGATACCAGCGCGAGAGGTAGTAGGCGTTGGCGGGTAGCATGGCGGACTCGAATAACCCAAGCAGGAAGCGAACACCGCATAAAGCTCCGAAATCCTGCACGAAGGCGGTGCAGATAGTGGTGACCCCGAAGCCGAAACAGCAAGCCGGAATGAACCAGCCCGGGCCGATCCACTTGCACACGGCAGTGAGAGGCACCTCAAAGATAATATAAGACACATAGAAGATCGAGAGGCAGATATTGTAGTCGTAACCCTTCATGTTTAGCTCTTTTTCGAGCCCCGCAAGTCTAGCATTGCCTGCAAGAGATCGCTTATTAGACCACCTTATTAGACCACCGAAAAACGGGAGTATTTGGATATTTATGTATACGAGGAAGAAAAGAGTTGGTTTTTAACTTGCCAATATTAGCACGGTCGATAAAACATAAAACTATCCAGAACGTCAATTTCTTGTCTCCTAAAGGGTCTCTTCTTGACAAAGGAAAGGGACTATAGAATAGAGAATCTCACGGTAGATGATAGCGACAAACGGCATGATGCAGAGGTCCAGCTTCCATCGAAGTCTGGTCTCCGCTGCCTTGTCGACTTGGAAGACGGCCTCTCCTGCACTGCATGCAATTAGATATAGCGCATCACGGCAACATACGCTCGAAATGGTTTAGACTTAATGGGTGGTAATGCAACTACATCGTGTACATACTGATTGCCCTTTGGCGACATAATAGACTCGGGAACCGGTCTCTCGTTGGTGTTTGCAAGGGAGCCTTTTAGGCTGGAGGGATTGCTCGGTGAGCATGGGACTGTTGTTCCCTTGATCGAGGTTTTCTCCTCCATTGTCATTGTTCCAGTGTCGATTTTCAAAAAAGGAAAAAAAAAAGGTTAAGTTTGCTCTGCCTCGAACTTCTATGAAACAGTAAATTTCAGGGAAACGGTATGGAGGTTGGGAAGGCAAGGGATATTCATAGTTTGCTTATCGAAATTTGGAATCTCTTTCCTTCCGGGACTTCTAGTAAACCAAGTGGCTTTGAGAAAGCGACACGGGGCGGCCCTGAGTCCTTTCCTAGTCGTCTAGGGTCACCCTTCCGTTACTCTGTTCTTCCCGAAAGCGGAATCGGAAACATGCTTAAACTCGAGGACAATTGCATGAAATGTGTGTTTCCGCACCGGCACCCCCATACACAAAGATAAGAGTATTTAGTCCAACATATCATAGTGCTCCACACCCGAAAATGAATGCAGAATGGCGGAAACCTATCTCCAGATCGGATACAGGACACCCGTAGCCCGCCCGGACATCGGATAATTTTCGATTTTGATTCCCGGAAAACACTCCCACCAAACCAATGAAATGTAACCGCTTTTTGAGAATTGGAAACGGCATGGATCTCCTAAGGAAAGAAAAACCAAAACCTTTCCTCACCCAGTTCGGCGGGTTGGACGATTCATTTGGGTCACGGCCTGCGCGTTTTATCTCCACACGACCATTTTACAGAGAAGGGTTGAGAATACGATGTATGCTCGAGCCACCTGAGCTTAAATTTAGAGATGCATAAGATGACAAGAGCGCCCTGCATATTCCTGTCTCACATTTCGTGGTCTCTTGCTGCGCTTTTTTTTTTTTTTTTTTTTTTTTTTTTTTTTTAGGCCTATAGAAGAGTTGGCGAAAGGGAAGGAATAAGGGTTAACGGCGGCGGCGCTTCCGAGGAATACCTTGACGCGTGGCACTCCGATTTTATGTGTATCATTTTAATCATGTTAATTCCCATTTTCTTATGGGACCGTTCATCGTGGGCGACATTGAACGTGGCCAGAGTTGCAGACTGTCGGGGCTTCGTTGGTCAAGTCGTCTGTGGCACTATTTAACAAAAAGACTGTAATAACGGACCTCCCCGCAGGGTCAGCATTGATTTGTCTCGATTTCAAGTTCCCGACACAGAGAATTTCTTACAAATTAGAATTCTGATATCCCAAGAAAGAGTTGATGAGTCGGGGGTCGACGAACCCCGCCCACCAGTGCCAGTGACTCTCGAGATTCGATGCAAGGATTACCATGTGAACCAAGGATTGTTTACAATGTTGCTTTCCTCCTCGATATCCCTATGAGCAGTCTTACCTCCTTCCGATGGAAATGCCTTTGTCAACAAGGCCAGACCTTCGACTCTTTGTGAACCTTTGCGGCAAAATTCCTCATCGGTTTGCTGTCCAACCTCGGATGTAACTACTAAGATGCTGTCCGCCGTGTTACACTCCCCTCGGCCCCACCAAGGACGATAACCAGGAGTTTCAGGATTTATCACTGCTCTAATACGATCTCCTTTTTGTATTCCTTCTTTCTCCAGCGCGGCTTAGACTGGCCCCTGTTACTTTCAGTCTTTTGAGCCCCCTTCACTGCTAACTCTGATGGGGCTCTTCTGTGTGTGGTATCGGATGTTCCAGTCTCCACACGTTTGTAGATGAGCATTTTCATGGTTCTCATTCTCTTACATGACCTCATTCTATGTTATTTCTCGAGCATGCCAAAATTGCTAGCCAAAGAGGACTCTCGATACTATCAGCGACCAGAGACAACTTCCAGGACCTACGACCCTGCAGGACAAAATGCTTTACAAGCATGCTGTCGATAGAGACAAAGAAGGTGCTGGTTATACAATAACCCATGATCAGCATAACGCGACCGCAGTTATGTTAGTAGGCATTTTTGACCGGAACTCATGGGAGCTTAATTCCAGTAGTCGTTGAGAGTTTGATGACCGACGAGATCTTTGTTCGTGGTTGAACTTCCTTGCATGGATACAAGTTCGAGCCATCAAGACAACGTCACCAAATTGAATTAGCCAAAAGCCACAGCAGTCTTCATACCTGGGAATGCAAGTTTGGCAAGACCGTATGCCATACTTCCTTCTTGACAAATCACACAACGTTGTCTTGTCTTGTGCGAAGATGTCGTTTATTGTTTGGGTTCATTGAATACCTTGTCGCCACACACGACTACCCGCCATCGTGTGCATGTCTCCAAGCGGCTTGCTAACAGAAGACAGCCCTCAGGTAATGACATTTCAGTCTAAACACGCCGGGGTAATATCCCGCCCTCATCCTTGGGGAGGAAGGGCGGAAACATCCTCCTACTACTTCTAGGCCCCATGGCCGTTCAGCCTGTTCCGTCCAGCTACGCTCTCTCCCTCCACCCACGATCTCTGGAGCCGCACGTCCAGAATAGCTGGGATGCCCTTCCGCACCTGCGCTACCGCCTCCGGGAGCAATTTCGCGAGTTCCCCGACACTGGACACAGTCGCAGCCCACGCGTTCCCACCAGCTGCGGCCTTAGCGATACCGGCATAGTCTGGCGAGGGGTCAAATGAGATGTTGAGGTCTTTGTTGTCCAACTTTGAGGCATACCCCGTGGGGTGGACTAATGTCAAAGAATTGCGGGGTGCATTCCAACCTATTCTTTCACTATTAGCGAAGGCCGTTTCACTTGCCTAGATGTCCGATTTCCTTTCGCTGGTCATTGATCTTGAGGTAAAATTTACCCTTATTGTTTAAGACCACGGTTAGCGTGGCAAGCCCGTATCTCCCAGCAATCCAGTACGCCGCGCTCGGGGCGCCGAATACGAAGGTGCCGTCGCCCACGATCTCGCAGACAAAGTGACCCTTGTTTGTTCCTCCGGCTAGCCAATCTGTTGCAAGTTTCACGCCGAGCGTGCCCCCGCCCGACCAGCCGAGCCCGCCAGCGCCGCAATTAAGCAGGTGGCCTGGTTCGTCCACCTGGAGCTGATCGTAGATGAAAGGTGCGTTTGTTACTGCCTCGACGCAGTAGATGGTGTCCTGCGGACACGTCTTGCGCAGGTTCGCGCACAGAAGCGAAGTGCTTGGCGGCTCGGCATCGTCGGCCGGGGGCATGGCACGCAGTGCGTACTCCTCGAGGCGTTTGCGATGAGCGTCAGCAAGAGCGGCCCAGCGCGACGCGTATGGCTCCCGGGACACGAGATCACGGTACTCTGGGTGGCCAGTGATGTACTTGTTCAGCTGGCGCAGAGCTGTCTCGGCGTCGGCTCGATACCGTCGGGATGCCGGTATGTAATACAATGGCATGTTCTGCTTCAGCGGGTCGACGTCAATATGCATGATCTGGGCGTCAGGGCGCGGCCGACACCGCGTCGGGATCCAGGTGACGTCGCAATCGAGTACGAGGATGACGTCGGCAGTCTCGATGCTTGGGTCAGCGCCCACGCGTACGCCCAGCGATGCGCGGTGACTGTAAGGGAAGCACACGTCGCTTCCCAGCACGTCGAGGACCCCTACGCCCGGAATATTTTCAGCTAGTTTGACGAGCTCCGGCACGGTTGCATGGTTACGACCGCAGTAGCCTGTGATGATGAGCGGCTGCTCGGCCGCTGCCAGTACCGACACGATCGTCTCAACTCCCTGCGGAGGTAGAGCGACAGGTGAGATGCTCTCCCAAACGGACTGGTCGAGAGAGTAGGGGGGGATGTCCTCTTCCATGACCTCGCGTGCCCCGACGAGATAGACGGGACCCTTGGGGTCGCTCGTAGCGAACTGGATGGCTCGATTGACCATCTGCTTGATGTTGCGGCCAGTCTTGAACTCAGCCGTGTACCGGCAGAACTGCGACACAATTTGCTTCTGATCCGGCGCATCCTGCAACCAGTGGATGTACTCGGTGCGGGACCCGCGGACCTCGCCGTCTAGGGTGAAGGGCGAGAGGCCGGCAAAGACGATGACGGGGCAGCGCCCAACCGAGGCATTATGCATGGCGCAGCCTAACATCTGGGTGCCAACATCAACGTGTACGAGCACGCACTGCGGCTGGCCAGTGACACGTGCGAATCCATCAGCCATGCACATGGCCACCATCTGCCCGAGACGTCCATGTCAGTTTGTGTGGGTTTCGCAATGTGCATTTAGGGGAACCCATACCTCGTGAGGAGACGTGATGACGCGGGGGAACTTGACTCCCTTTAGGTGCGCACCGTGGGCCAATGCCTCCATTATGGCCGGGTGGTCCGACCCAAGATTGACAAAGACATGGCTGACACCGGCCTAGACAGGGGGTTGGGCACATGGAGAGAGTGGTTAGTATCCGAGGAGTCGGAGCGCTTCGAGTTGGGCCGAAGGAAGAACTCCCTCCTCGGCCAGCTCCCGGTTGGGCTCGGCGGAGGTAAGGACACGACAGTCCTTCTCCTCCTATATGAACATACGTACCTCTGCAAGGGCCTCAAAAAAGGCAAAAGAAGCGGAATATTTTTCTCTGTAGATTGTCGAAGCATTTAGCCCACCCACAATTCTGCAACCGCATGGGTCTTACGATATGAAACCGTGGGAAGAAGAACTTACAACTGATGCATTATCTATTACTGACCGATTTGTACCGTTTCGCCGGAGAAGGGACCAAGAGAGTATCATTCAATAGTAGAAGGTGGGCGAGGGGCAGTGGATTGAATTGGCGGTGCACACGTCTCTAGACGGTGATATATGAAAATGGATCTGAAATTGCCATAGTCTTTCGAGCCTTGACTGCTCGTAGACATACATCTAGTTCCTCCGAAGCGCGATTTAATCAGCGCCAAGTTCAGAATTACAGAATCTGGCTCCATCGGAACTGACTAAATCGGAATACCTTCATTAGTTGCAACGGAATATTCCCGAAACCGGGTTTCTAGCCGGTCGAGTTATTTCGACCGGCATAGAATCCGGAGAATAGGTTCGGTGCCCACCGGATCGGCCTCCGATGGTAGGTCCGCCTACGAGCTGGAGATACCTCATGCTGACATCCACTACGAAGACGTCTCTCGGGTAGCACTAAATAGGTCCGCGGAGTCGAGATCTGTAGGGTCACGTCAGCAAGCTTGTAGTAAATGTCCACACCCGGTGTAAATGATGACGTCAAGCTACGTCTAGGTCGAGATATGCGACAAAATTGATAGCCGTGTCCTCCCATTACGTGATGCAAATTAACCTCCCTTATACGCGTCGGTGGGCCTCAATACATCGGGAAGTGACAACATATCGGCGGGCAACATGGCAATTTCGACCTAAGGTTTTGCAGGGGCAATTTCTCCCAGACGGTGTCGCCGTCAGACTGCACTTAAACGAAGGTCGTTGATATAGACGACTGCCTTCATCGCAGAAGCAATACCACCCTGGAGTTGGCTGGGCCCGTACATGACTTGAGAAGCGACCGGCCAGTACCACTCCCCGCTGCACCTGTTACTATTGCCAGCGCTTGAGCACAGTAGGTAACCCAAGAACTCCTCCCGGGCCGGCAAACATTGGTATCAGCGTCTCTCTATACACAATCTCTATTCTCACATGTATATTAAGGTTTATTGCGAATCCCCAGAAGATGTGGCCATCAAAATCCCAGGTAGGTAAGTGAAGCCGCATGCATTAATAAGAGGGTGAGCCTGTGGGGAAACAGTCGGATTCTAGGCTGTGCCGGAAGATTCCCTTGAAGATAAGAAGTGCCTGTGTCCGAAATGGCGATAATGGGGGGCATTAACTTCTCATGTTATCTGCGAGGTGTAAAGATCCGCCCCTTGACTCGAAAAAGAGACCGGAGCAGGTGCAGGCACAACGCACCGAAGCCAGATGCAGGTCGGTATAATGTGGGGCCCTTTCCGAAGGTCTTCCAGACAATGGAGATTTTCAACTAAGAACGCGGGGAAATTAGGGAGACTAGTTCCGAAATTCCTAAACAATTTGAATGAATGTGATTCAAGATACACCAGGTACCAAGTATATGGAGCTGCACGAAGCTATCCTAAAAGGGTAATTTGGATGTTCGATGTAACTGGAATCTAGGAATCGTGGTTTGGCCACTAGCACTGCTCCGGAAACTACGGAATGAATGAAACGTCGAGACCGAGGCCACGAATTTCAAATCCCTGACCTGGGCAGTCACAAATATGTACTTTGCACCAGGGTCCACAGGCTTAGCTCAAGGAGTCACTAATCTCCTAAATTAAATTGGATCTTCTCTTGTAGTAATTAATCCTAACCTTCCTCTAGCTTGTGAATCCCATATCGCGCCAAGCCGCTTTGATCTTGTCCTTTACATGGGCGGGGTATGACGTCTCAAAGTCCACCTTCCGGAACGTCCTCTCTCCGGCGTACTCCATCGGAAGTAGACAGTCGGAGATAAGCTTGCCACCCTTCCGTGGGTCCGACCCTGGTCCATGCGACATGTACGGCGTCAGGTAGAACCCAGGGAGGTCCTCGAACAAGTGGTCCCCAATGCCGGGGCGGCATCGAGTGACGAAAGCCCACATGACGTCTCGGAAGTTGTAGACGTCTACATCCTCGCCTACAAGCAGGATGCGGTTGATAAGCATGCAGCTCTTGTCACGGAAAACCACTTCGCCAAGTTGACGGCAAAAGTCTCGCGAATTGGTCCCCAAGCGACGTAGTGCCTCGCCGTCGACCTGGAGGGCGCACCAGGTAGCCATAGTTTCAAGTGACGCGCAGGCCTCCTTGATGGGGAAGCCATGGTCATGGCAGAGTGTCAGGAGCTCCGAGGCGGCCAGGGCAGCGGTGGTATGCTGGAAGGAGTAAAGAAATGGGATGCTTAGTATTAAAAGACAGAATGATATAATGAATCAACAAATATGTTGCTAAGAAAAACTCACCGACTCATCTGTGATTCTACCTGGTACAGAAACAGGGAGAATCGCGTCGTCTCGGTAGGTAATCGCATCTACTCTGAACAAGGGGCTCATGCGCTGGTCATTGTCGAACACGAGCCCAAGATAGTCCCCGAAAGGGCCCTCGGGCGCCGTCTGTGTTAACGAGAACACGCCCTCGAGGACGATCTCGCTGTTAGCTGGAACAAGGAGGTCGCTGAGCTCGCACCGGACCAAGTCCAGCGGCTTGCCCACAACAGCCCCGACGTACTCACTCTCGGAGACGCCCTCTGGCACCGGCATAGCCGCCACAATACTCGCTGCCGGCGGCACCCCAAGGGCCAGCGCCCACGGAATCTCCGTCTTGCCCGCATCCAGCCATTTTTGCCGAATGATTGAGTTGTGCTGACCTGGCCCCACGAGGCAAACGAGGTGGTTCCGGTCGTAGACCATTCCGCGGAAGATGGACCAGTTGGTCCACGAACCGTCAGGTGTCTGGAGGATGTGTATCCCGTATGTCTGAAGGTACTTGCCGCCGTCGCCCTCATGTAGCAGGGGTGCGGGCAGGCTGTCGAGGTCGATCTGGTCCCCCACGAGCTTGTTCTGTTTGCAGAGCCCCGTTGGCAGGATGTTGGGCGGCAGAGGGGTTGCCTGCTTGATATTCCTGAAACGGTCGGAGATGGCCTTCCAGCTAGCATTGGCGGGGAGCCCTAGGTTCCTGGCCACTCTCCCATACTTCTCAGCGTCGTGGTTCCTAAGGCTCGCTGCGTTGCCAAACATGCGCCAGAGGCCTCCTTTCTTCGCACCTTTGACGTTGTTGAAGAGTGGTGCTTTGTCATTAAACTCGCTAACGCGCCTCACGATAGCGCCTACTTCGAGATGTGGGTCGACCTCGACGTCTATCTCGGCTAAGTCGTCGTCCCGGCGAAGCACGTCGACGAATGTGCGGAAGTCGAGCTGCGCGTCGGCTGCGGCGTGGAAGTCTTCTGCGGACGACGGCGAGGATTGCTTTGTATACGCCCTTGATAAGGGGTTCGGGTTCGGTCGGGAACTTGAAGCCATCCTGCCAAGGAGAACAGGGGACAGCAAATTTCGTAGGTGGTGCTGGCGGAGGCGCGACATCACAACTTCGTCTCGAGAAGGGATTCGAACTACAGCCTAAAGGAATCTGAGCCCAAGAATCGAACTCGCGGTTGTGATTAAGTAATAAACGTGTTCATATTTAAAGAGGGAATCCGAAGCGACAATTCTAAAAGGCAGAGGTTATTAGAGGCATCTTTGTCAAGAATCGGCCGCTGGCAAACCTACGGAAGCGGTTCCGTCCACCCGGAACTGTATTACCAAGCAAGGACCGAGCCGTGTGTGGGTCAATATCCATTTTTTTCCAGGCTTCCGTAGGTTTTGAGTATCCACACTTCGGCAGGTCGTCGTGCCGATCGTGCTACTCGGATGCAAGCTTGTGAAAGGAGTCATCGACTTCTTGTTACTGTAGGCTCACTCTATTATCCTTATACGTCTAAGTTGCCGACACAAGTTTCCATCCGGTGCGCTCAGTGTGTAGTAAGGAAAAAGCCTGGATTCATTCTTCAGATCTATACTAACATTTCTGCCCAGCTCTTCGGCGTAACTGGAAGGACAATATATCCAGACACGTCGCCTTCATAGAAGGGAAGAAGAAGAATCCTAGATTGGAGACGTTTAAATTTTTTTTTTTTTTGGGAGTTTTTTTCCTCACTCGCCATGTCTACGTGCTTCATTCGATTGCCTGGATGTCAATCGGGGAAAACTTGGCAGCTATATCGGTCGAAAACAATTGGAGCCCCGATGCTCTGCCGACGGAGTAGCTGCGGTTCCCGTCCACCACACCCTCCATCACCCAGCTCTCTAGATCCCAATCATACATGCACATTTGCTGGTTCGAAAACGGCCACGAGGCCCCACGTGAGCCGGATTCCTCCGCAGCCACAGCGCATCATCGTCGGCATGACGGGTGCCACAGGCGCCATATACGCCATTCGCCTCCTCACTGTTCTCCGCGACCTTGGTGTTGAGACACACCTCATTATGAGTAAGTGGGCGCTCGCTACTCTCAAGTACGAGACCCGGCTCACGGAGGCTGAGATCCGATCCCTCGCGCACGCCAACTACGCTGCACGGGATCTCTCGGCACCCTTCGCCTCGGGTTCCTTCCCGCACGACGGAATGGCCGTGGTTCCCTGCAGCATGAAGACCCTAGCGGCTGTGCGGTCAGGCTATACAGACGACCTCCTATCCCGCGCCGCTGATGTTTGTCTCAAGGAGAACCGACGCCTGCTACTAGCAGTGCGCGAGACGCCGCTCAGTGACGTGCATCTTGACAACATGCTGTTTCTGCGGCGCGCTGGCGCTGTCATCTTCCCTCCTGTGCCGGCCTTCTACACCCGCCCGGGGAGCCTCGACGACATCGTAGACCAGAGCGTTGGGAGGATGTTGGACGCACTGAACATTTATACGGCTGGGTTCGAACGATGGCACGGGTTCCGAAAAAACTGAGGTCCAGAACGGAGCTAGGGAACGGAACACCTGGGAATTGAAGGAAATGGGGCCAAGAGGGCGGTTTCATAATTGGACTGTCGCCAAAAACCAAGTCGTATATACAGTCATAACCTGGTGGTCGATTTGCTAGGAGAGCTGATAAAGGAAATTTAATGGCATTTTTGTTCTCAATTATTTTTGTTCTGTTTAATACAACGTCGCGATGTTACGTTACCCTTCAATTTCTTCACGGTCCCCGATCCGAAAAAAAGTTGTTTACTTCAGTCCAGGGCCAATCATGCAGTGTCGTCCCGGTCCAAGCTGTCGACGAGACAGCGGTGTTATCGGCAGCCAACCCTATCGATTCCATTATGTCCAGTGGCTGGCAAGTGGCCTGCAACGGCGATTCTTCCACGGCATGGGTTGCCACTCCAGCTGGGCCGCCCGATGACTTGCCAGGCCCCTTGCCGCCATTGAGGCGTAGATTGCCGACACCCCCCAGAGGATTTATCGACAACGGAGCTACTGCCGGAAGAGAAGAAAAATATACCGAAGATGGAGGGAAGCTGCGGTCTGGGATTGGGGCGACGACAGTTCGAGAAGCAATGTCGTTCTCCATAATCGTCATCTCATCTTGTGGGAGGATACCTAGCCGTGAGAGTGGCTCCGCTAGCATAAGAAGGCGGTTCCACAGTCGGCGCGACGCTCGCGACGAGTTGCTGTACGCTGCCGCTAAAGAGAATGCCTTCCGGAAGTTCCGTTTAACTACTCCAGCGAAGTCCTCGGGCAAGCTAGTCGTGAGGCCCACGCGGTTCTGCTCAACAAACGCGACGATGAGGAAGAGGAGAGCACAGGCTGAGGCCAGAAGGTGCTGGAAGTGAGGGTGTTGCCGACGATAGAGGTCCGTCGTACGGTCGAGGGTGGAGAGCATGTTGATGGTGTCTGATACGAGCTCAAGTCCGGGTGAGATATTTCGTTTACCGGCCTCAGCAGCATTGCTGTTCGCGGATCCCGAAGATACTGTAGAGTTGGAGGAAGAGGATGAGGAGGCAGATGAAGAACGACTGGGGAAGAAGAAGGGACGTAGCAGGAGACCGCGGACGGAGTTGGCACGGAGGTATAGAACAATAGTCCACCATGGAGGTCGGGTCGAAGGTGCGGCCTGCCAGGCGGTGGGCTGTGAAAAGTTGAATGTAGAGACAGCTTTCTGCCGCCACTGCTCGATCTGGAAATTCATGATGTTAAAATCGTCGTCGTCCTCGTATGAGCCCCCTTTGGCGACACGTGTACTCGGCTCGCTAAATTTATCACTAATGAGAATGAAGGAGATCATGGCTTTTAGATAAGGTGTCTTGGCTTGCTAGAGTTTTGCATAATGTCAGCAGTGTCGTTCCCTTTGTGCTTGGTGTATAGTATAAGAAAGGAGATGCTCTCGAAGAACTGGCGAGAGCACAATAGCTGAGCAGCTAGTCTTACACTTAGAAATGTGTTGGGATCAAAGGGTGAGTCTTGAAAATTCGACGGCAGTCCGGTGGAAGCACTCCACTGACGGTCTAAGATGATGATGCTGCAGGTAAGAGTTATGATCTCCTCTCGCTGTCGCCTAGACCGCAACACATGATCCGACACATCCCGGTTGTGGAGGCCAAGCTCTAACAACATGCGGCCAGCCACGCCGCACATTCGCCATGAAACTTGTGTCATGTCTTTGAAAAAATGATAGATTCCCTGTATTTACGTGTCAGCAGGAAACATCCTTCTTCCGTACCTTAGCCAATACTTTGTTTCCCTCCTCCATCTCCTAAAATTATTCCACAAACATAGGGCGAAGGAAGAAGCGAACACTACTCACCATTAATAATGTGATTACGGCATGATTAACTGTTATTGTTGGTGACGTAATGATTGACTTGACGATATCTCGACATGACGAGTAGATCGTCAGCTCCATCTCCGGCGTAGACGCCGAATCGGCGCATATAGCGGTACACAATGCAAGGTTGGCAATTATCAAGCTGCACTCGTCTATCGCCGAGTCCACCGCGCGGTACCATCCCTCTACCTGGTCGACTAGGTTCTCGATATCGAAGACGGGGTGCAGGTCCCCAATCACCTCTTGGTACACGAATAGTAGCCGTACAGCCTCACGCATCGGCAGTATCGTCTTGAAGTGCAGAAGCTGCTGCAGCAATAGTTGTTTTCCAGGGCCTCCAGTCGACAGGCCGTTCGCGGCAGACATGGCGCCCTCGCCGCGGTGATCGCGGTTGTTTGGGCCGCCAGCGACCACTGGTGACATGCCATCTTCGGAGTCCGACTGGTCATCGTCGATACTCGGCAATTTGGAGCCCTCGTTGGGCTCTGCGCTCGCGAAGCTGGCCTTGTACATGCTCATCTGTGCAACGTTGAGGCTGTAATCCGGGCTCGTCGGCCCGTAGAAGCGATGTGTTACCGACTTGGATGAGGAGGAAGGTTCAGTAGTATTAATGGTACCACCAGCCGTGTCCAGAGCACTGCGCGAGGGAGGGGTGCTGGTGGAAGTTTCAGCAGACGGCGGGCGCGACGTCCGTCGTCGAGAATGTTCATATGCCTGCGACTGCGACTGCGGAGGAAGTGGTGGGATGGTTACCTCCCCCTGTAGTGGTAGCACCGAGGACAGCGCATCTGCACTTGACTCTTCGCCCTGATTCGGAAGCGATCGCTGGCTCACGGCGGATCCGCTGCCCACGCTGGTCTGCCTCACGCGGGCGACGAGGTTGTTCAGTTGGTCTTGCAGGTTCATAATGAGTTGATTCAGGTCCCCGGATTGCCTTCCCCGATTCAGCGGCATTGCGCTAGAATTAGTAAATAGAGTTTAAGGGGAACAGGCTTTTTCATGTCTTTTTCTTTTTCTTTTTATATTTTTTTGGTTTCTTGTTGGTGGGCCCTCAACAATCCACTTACTCCGGGTTCCATAATGATGAGGGTGGCGGCGCCATCGACGCCCTCTCAGGCCGCTGCTCTGCGGTCGTTGTGATGTTGGCGGTGGAAGCCATAGGTGTAGCTGATGCAAGGAGCTCCGAAGGCGGGGCGATAGGGATGGTGACGCTGGCTCGCCAGTCGCTGTCGCTGGTCCCTGAGGTGTAGGAGCAGGTAAGGGACCGATCTGAGCAGTGCCCGCAGGGGTGCCGGCCGTTGCACTTTCCCTTTCGTCTCCGGCAGACGTCACAGGCTCTTATAGCGTAAGGGGCTCGGCGCTTTCCACCCTCTCCAGCCCCGGGGCCAGCTGGACGTTTAGTACCGCGATTTGTTGTCTGCCCCTTTCCGTCGTCCATATTATCATATTATCAAGCTTCTGTTGTATGGAGATGTTTGGATGCTTAGTAGGTAAATCTCAGGCGCAATCAGGGGAATAAAAAAGAGTAGCAACTAAATAAAGTGTCAGGATAAGGGGCACGGTATATATTCGCTAAGTAGTAGTATCTTGGGAGTTTCTTATCCGCTTTGACAAGGAAGACAAGATAAGAGTGCCAAGATGCTACCCTTGCAGATGCGCTAAACCCTTTAAGGCCGCAAACGTGGAGAAACCTCGAGGAGCGAGTCCAAGTGTCTGGTGCTCCCCCCGCTCAGCGAAGGTCCTGTCCAACCAAGATAAAGTCCGGTGTGTTTCGGGGGTATTAACAACTTTACAAAAGGGGTATTACTTTTGGCATGCCTAGGGACATGAACTTGACCGAGTTTCCGCTGATAAGTAGTATCTTTATTTATCATAACGGTCCAACAAACTCTGTTCCGAACCTGCAAACAGAGTCAAGCCGCCTCACGGTCCTGGCCCTCAGCATCATACTGTAGTTTGCATTTAGCACTGATAGGCCCTCTATTAGTAGGTAGCCGAAAACACAATGGCGTAAGAAGCACTCTATATCCAGGTCCATCGTTAGACAATGTACTTGGCGTCCACCTATATCATTACCCCGGATTTTTGATGGTGCCGCACCGAACACGGATCCCATGCCGAGCCGAGTCTAGTTTAATCGACCCCGCACTTACACCAAATGTGGAGGTACTTATCTCTATGTCGGTTTTTCGAACACTCTGATCTCCCGGCATTGGTGGCTGGGGAGGTTTCGGATGTAACTACGAAGTACAGGAGTGCAATTATCGACAAAAAGATTCCAAATACTGAGATGTATCTATATAAAGCAGCAATTGGTTGGTTGTCGTCCTCGTTCTATTCGGCTGGAATAACCATGGCAGCATCCCTTCGCTGAGAAGACCGGAGAGAGGAATGCCATCTCGCTAGTTAGGAACAAAGACATCTTCGGATTTGCAAGCTGTGGAAAAACTGCAACAGATTTCAGCTATCTTGGTGAGGAAAGCATTTCGAAGGTGATTTTGCCCCTATCGATTGATTTCGATAAGACTGGGCCAAATCAACGGGGTCTACATGCATAATCAGGTATTGGGGAGGATTCCTCGATGCTACCCTCTGGCTTGTGCAGGTGTTGCGGGTAAACCCTACCCTGCGCTCTATCAGGTCAGATAGGGTCCCTGGTCGGAAGATGTACCACCCCCGACCGCGACAAAGAGGATTCCGGAACTCAAGGTAGGAATGCAATACCTTCCTACCCCATCTCCATTCCGGTTTCACGCTTTTCCTCAAATGCGTACCTTCGGTTGTCGACACTACCGCCTAACAATTAGCCTTGTCCCTCCGGGGTCTCCGGCGACATAATGTATAGGGCAGTGTAATAAGCAAGCATGCTGGGGATGGTGAAACGAGGTGCTCAGCATGAGAGGCTGTATGTAAGTAGGTAGATCTCGACTACCATACACTGTACCTCGTCATATCGACAACATATAAACGTCAAAAGCATATATCCCTTATTCAGCAATCGGCATATTTATTTACAAGCCAAGTCATATCATTTGGAAAACGAAACAGTTTCACATCATTGATGGTTATACCACTACCTACGCATCACGAAATCATGCCTACTGTCTGCTTGAAAGGGATAGATAACCACTTGGTAACCGGTATGTCTAGTAATTATGAGACTGTCGTCCTCGGCCGATAAAAAAGAAAAGTTTCTCTGACTAACGATGGTATTGAAATAAAAGTTCCGACTGGTCTCTTCATCGATAACGAGTTTGTACCCGCCACTAGGAATGCCACGCTCGACACTGAAAATCCGGCCACGGGGTCGCTCCTCGCATCCGTATCTGCGGCGCAGAAGGAAGACATCGACCTCGCCGTGCAGTCCGCGAAGAGGGCCTATCGCACCTGGCGTGCCGAGTCCCCCGGAACCAGGCGAAACCTGCTGAACAAGCTAGCTGACCTCGTCGAGCGTGATGCCACAGACCTAGCGTCCCTCGAGGCCTTGGACGCCGGTATCCTCTACCGGGACTCCATCGGCCTGCACATCCACCAGGCCCTTGAGAACCTGCGCTACTTCGCCGGCTGGGCCGATAAGGTAGACGGGCTGTCGCTAACGATCCCTGAGGGCATGGCCTATACCAGAAGAGAACCCATCGGTGTGTGTGCTGCTATTGTGCCTTGGAACGCGCCACTGTAAGTCACCCAGTTGGGTCTGTCTACAAAATCTCCTTCCTCTCTCACCTGCTCACGGTGCTGGAGTTACGGATCTACTGGCTTACGCACCCCGATATCTACAGCATGATAACCGTCTGGAAACTGGCACCCGCCCTCGCCGGCGGCAACACCCTAATCATCAAGACCCCAGAGGCCTCCCCCCTTTATGGTCAGAAACTCGCCCAGCTCATCGCAGAAGCCGGCTTCCCTCCGGGTGTCGTGAGCATCGTCTGTGGCCTCGGGACTGTCGCAGGAAAAGCCATCTCTGAACACCCCGATATCCGCAAGGTATCCTTCACAGGCAGCGCAGGCGCCGGGCGGCAGGTTCTCGCGGCCTCGGCGCGCACGAACCTCAAGCGTGTGACGCTCGAGCTCGGCGGCAAGGGCCCAGCCATCGTCTTCGACGATGCGGATTGGGAGAACGCGCTTCTCTGGACAACTCTCGGCATCACTGTGAATAACGGGCAGGTGTGCATCGCGGGAAGTCGTATCTACGTGCAGAGTACCATCTACCAGCGCTTTGCTGAGGCCTTCAGTGCACGCAGCCGCGACGCCGTACACGGAGACCCGCTCCTGCCGGAGACTACGAAGGGTCCCCTCATCAACAAGATGCAGCGGGAGAAGGTGCTTTCATTCGTGCAGAAGGGCCAGGCCTCGGGCGCTAAGCTGCTTCACGGAGGTGGTGGGGAGGAGAACTTCGTCGCCAACACCGCGTTTCTCGATGTGCGGCAGGACGCGGACATCATGCAGCAGGAGATCTTCGGCCCTGTGGCTTGCATCGCGCCATTTGAGACAGAAGAGGAGGTCATCGAGAAGGCAAATGATTCGGCATACGGCCTGAGTGCCGCAGTCTTCACGAACGACTTAAACAAGGCTTTTCGGGTGACCGAAGCAATGGAGACAGGACAGGTCACCGTGAATGTCTGGGGAGCGTTGAATGCAAACACACCGTTCGGTGGTATGAAGGAGAGTGGTTTTGGTAGGGACATGGGGAAGGAGGCTCTGGATGAGTGGACAGTTGTTAAATGCGTTAAGTGGCAGATTGTAAGGAAATAAGCAACACCTCGCACGCCAAAGGTGACTGGGGAAGTCGGGAAAAGTAATACCGCGTGAAATCTGGGGGTCAGGAGAGTATTGAGCCACTTTCCCACTTGAATCAAGAGATTGTTGTGATGGACGATTGTGTTGTATGCTAAACTCTAAGTAGATGATACTGATCTCGCCGCATCATCGGCTTCTTCCCTGGGACTTTTGTACCACTAGAAATCTCTTTCAACCGTTCTACATTTACACTGGACCTTGGTTGCTGTATTCTTTTGCCGAGAGGGTCCAATGAAAGATCCAAATCCTCCTTAATCTCTTCTACGATACGTTTCGATACACTCTGTAGCTCCCGCTGTGTGTTCTGGACTGCTAACCCAATCTGCCGAGATATGGTAGAGGACATAGTCTTAAATATGTCTCCGTCTGCGATGCGACCTTGGACGATCTTCTTCTGGCGGGAGGCCTTGCCGTTACCTACTCATTTTAAACGACTGTTAGAAGAGGACTGACTTCGGAGATTCGATAAAGGAAATGGCTTCCAGCTCTATTTGAACATACCAGATTGGCTGCTCGCAGATCTGTATGCCGGTAGCATCTCGGCGAAGATATATGAGTTTGCATTTGACTCGGATGCATGACGTCGAGCCAGCCTTGCGGGAGTAGAGTTTGTCAGGAACGAAAAATGTAGGCGTAGGCGGTGAATCATACTTAACATCTTGGGTGAATCGTTGCTCCGCCAAATCGACCTGGTAAGCAAAATCTTTCATGCTGGCCTCGATTTTGTCTCCCAGTGACACCCGGTGGCTTTCAACGCATAGATCTATGTGATATAATGTTAAAATTCCCTCTGTGGAGGCCATACAGCTAAGGGATTTGGCCGCACCGGGAACTTTGTCCATTAGGTCCTGCAAAGTCTGCTTGACTGAGCGTGACAATGTTGAGTACAGCTCGGGGATTTCGTCTTCTACGAGATCCCATTGATATGCGAGTTCAGTTTTCATTTTCCATATGAGAGTTGCATTCCAGTCCTGCCGCCCGCGCTTTGGTGTGTGGTGATGGCCATTGTTGAGACACCATGCGTTGTACTGGGCTAAATATGATCATTCATATAAGTGAGGCTCGACGGCTTTTAAAGACCTGCGTATCGGTGCCATACTCGAATGCCACTGCATTATTATTAGTATGCTAGTATGAAATTCAAGCGGCAAATTCTTCTTACAGACTGCCATTTTAATGCTTCGGAAGCAGCAAAACGCTCCCATTCCATATATCGATGGCCTGTGTCGGAACGTGTCAGTTCAAGCTCTTTCATCGCGCTCTCGCTGTCCCTTTCCCTTTGTTTGGTTTTAAATCACTCACTGAGAAGGACTTCTATCTGCTCTTCGAAGCAAGTGTCAAAGTCTCTCACAAGTTTCGAGACGGCATCAGCGCATCGTTTCTCCTGAAACTTGTTAGTATTCCTAGTAACGTCTCAATTCCCTGCGTTGAATGTGACGAGGGCAGTGGGCGATGTACTATCTCGGAGAGCTCCTGATCGGCTAATCGCTTCACCCTTTTTTGGATCATTGGCTTCGCTTCCTCTGTCCGGATATGATGTGAGTTACGAGGAAGAATAGAGAGGATTGGAAGAAAGACCCTGCTTCACGCGAGGGCTGGATCAATGGGAAATTAATAGGCAGGGGTTGAAGATGCAGCAAAGGAGGAAAGAAAGAGAGGGCAAAAGAAAAGAAGAACAAGAAAAACATGGCCATTTATTGTGGGGCTCGAGGCACAACACTCAGCCCATCATCATCATCATCATCATCATCGGAAGAAATACATTAGGCATCGATAGCTCCTAGGTATGAATCCCACCGCTGGTCGATCGTAAGGAGGCGAGTCCAACGCCAAGACCATGCTGCCTGTAGCAAAATACCAAATACACTAATTTGATGGTGTCGGGGCCATTGCGCCTCGATCTAGGCGTAGCGGCAGGGGCATGTGCAGCTTCAGCTGGTCCAACAGAGAGGTCGTGCATGGGACAAACGAGCCAGTGAAACCTCGTTGGAGATCTGGGACCCTAACTCGGGTATCAAGGATAGGGGTCTGTTAGATGAAGCAGCGACGGCGTCCATATTCTCCCGCGGAATGTAATATTTTGGGTCCCACGCCTCCGCCTCCATGCAGCGTTATTACTTTGTCGTTCCAGATGCACTTAGATTCAGCGAGTGCAAGACATGGGGGTGGGACGCATTGCTGACACCAATTGATCGATGAATCGGCCCGTTCGGGACATGAATAGATGATGTTCTGAACCGCTCCTGTGCCGATTTGAGATTTCAACAAATTGTCCGCATATTTAGTAAAACACAGAACACATACTCCCGGCCATAGTCATATTTATCATATTTGATCCTAACGTCAACAACTACTGCAAAATGAGCCTTGAACACTAAAAGCGAGAGAACAGGCTGTTTCAGCTGTTGGCACTTCAACTTCTTGGCGCAGTAAACTTAAACCTTGTCCATAAGCCAGGCAGCCCCTTCCCCCGCCTCCCTCGTTCCCTTATTTTCCACTTTCAAATCTCTTGCTCACATCACTCGGGTCCACTTTCGTTCATTAGGTAACGTTTGCCGTTCGTTTACATCATATAATGTCATCATCGGTTTTGATTTGTTCCGAATGGCCCCCTCTCCACCTTCGTAATCATCAACGCATCTCCCGAGTCGGAGGGGCAACCTTCACAGAAGCATCCTGTTTCACCATGGCCGCCACAGACGCATTTACACTCGAGGCAACGCCGGACACAGACATCTGGAGGAAGCCGCCTGCAAAAGATATCTTCACTGGTATAGTCGAACATTTTCTTCGAATGCAAGCATTGCATTACATGGCGGCTTTTTGCTGACGGCGGGGCTCATAGCACCCATATCCCGGACGTCCTCTGGACTCCTGAAGAAGTTCAAGTCTGCGCGAGTGACGTTCTGGGCTGACTGGACAGAGAGCTATGATCAGGCCGGTTTGCTCTTGGTTCCAAAGCGTGTCCACTCGCTAACCCATCCACCCGAGAAATGGCTCAAGGCAGGCCTCGAGCTCTATGACGGGAAGCCGCACCTCAGCGCTGTTGGTTGTGATCGGTATGCCGACTGGCACTTGAGCCCGCTCACCACGCCTATCAATCCGAGTAAAGGCCTGACCATCGAGATTTCCCGCGCAGGTAACAATGAGAGCGGCAAGAGTTTTTGGATTTACCAGCTCATCCTGGATGAACAAGGGACTGTAAAGGAGAGAATCCCGATGCGTCAGGTCTGCTGGATCCTCGCCGATGAGGATGAGAGGGACGGGGAGGAGTGGGTCTTGGACGTGAGTCCACTCATTGCGCGACCTGCAAAAGAGGCGACAGAGAGCCTCAAGGTCCATTTCTTCGAGTTCACAGTCGGTTGGTTACCTTAGAACGTATCGACGGCCTATCTTCATATCCGATGTATCAAAGGAGAGAGAAAGCCCGTAGATGATGTCTACGCGTCCTGTCTGCTTGGAGTCCCTCGAGGTCGAGGTTCAAATGAGGAATCTCGATTCAGACGCGCGGATGACGAAACAATAATAACTCAAAATGGGCTCTCGTCCTAAAATTTGATACTTTTTTAAGCTTCACAGTTTCCACTTAAATTGACGACGCAAATCCGACGATGGTACTACCGTACTAGGCATGTCGATCGATACAAGCAGAGATCTCGCCCGTGTTAAAGCTGGTCCACAACGCGATCGCGAGCCTTTAATATTTGTCGCGTTTATATATTCCTCATTGCCTTTCGTCCTTTTCAATGGTTGGTTCAATGAATCCCGGCCCCATGAGTCCATCGACAAGGTGCCGCTCTCGTCCAGCAAACGGTTTTACACACCCGTTAGCGGGATGGATCAGGACAGCCCCGCTGGATCGCAATTACCACGCCGCAGATTAGATTAATTGACATGTGGGGCGATGAGACCTGGCTGACATCGCCAAAGACCTTACGTACGAAAACTACACATGCTCCTCTCCGGAATTGTGGTGAGCAGTGGATTAGGGAGATGAGGTGCACTCTGTCCTGGTGCGAATCGGGGTGCGCCTGGACTTAGCCTAATATAAGGTAGCTACGACGTCTCCATCTCTCTTCACCATCTTCGCACTTCCACTATCATACTGCGTTGCCCGCAATTGACCACTGCCTCGCGTTGCGCGATGGGACCGCGATCAAGCCTTGCCAGCCATATCGGCATCTTTATCCTCATTTCTTTCACTGATGTAGCCGGGGCCCTTCTTGATCTGTGTGCATTTAAGAACGACTCATATTGGTACGACCGAGAAGAGAATCTGCTGTTGGTACATAACCTGACCGTGGATACTCGACAAGTCGAAGACGCGAGCCAAAGCAATGGCGTGCGTAATGTTAGCCGGGTCCATCTCAGCGTAACCTCCCCGATCTGGGACGGTATCATGGACTGCGATGCATGGGACCACGGCGTGCAAACGGAGCATTACCTGGGCAATCCCGAGGACGGGTTAATTTACGATGACTGTACACCCCGTGCTGGTTTCGAGGCGGACCGATACTGGCTGCAGGTAGCAACGTTGGGGATGACGGTAGGGACAATGACTGGCTCGGCGTTTCATGGGTTTGTGTTCAACGAGACCTTCACCTGCGACGAGGATCCAAGCTCCATGTATGTTCTCTCTAAAGTGGAATCCAGCTACGTTTCTCTCCTCACATTTCTTGAAATGTTGACATCTCACTGGCAAACTGACAGAATTACCGTGGAGAGGCACCAAGAATGGCTCCCGACCAATGGGAGATTTCTGGGCTGGCGCTGCAACGATGAGGAGGAAGGCACACATGAGACAGCCATCGTTGGACACTGCGAGTTCATCCTAACCAACGCGACTGCTTGGCCCTCCGTCTTCATTGACCACTCTCACCTTATCCCACCACCACCAGATCGCCGCTGCTATTCGCAGTCGATGGGGGAAATCGCCTGGGAGATTTCCGATTTCGAGCTGACAACTGCCCTTTATAGCACCACGGTAATCAATTTCTTCGCTTCCCTGGTGTATGTGGCGGACTACGGCCCTCCTCCGTACGCATTCCTGCGGTTCAAGATGGTGAACCTGGCAACTGGATATGTGTCAAAGCCAGAATGTATGGCAACGGATCCATCTTTGCAGCCGAATCATGATGAGAACATACCGGGCGGTTACGATAAGTGGTTCAGCTGTAATGACACTGCTGCGAGGGAGTACGACGTGTTCCCCACGAGTTTCAAGTACAATTCCATGACGGGTGAACTAAACATCCAACAAGAATGGGAATGCGAACGGGATGATGACCCGGAAAGGTAATCCCAGCACCCACTACTAACATATCCCAGCAAATTCCAACATTACTCAGATTACTGACAAAATTCTTCGCCAAGCCTCGCCAAGTTTCTTGCCGTCGGTACTGTAGAATTGCCCCTTAACGAGTGTCGTGTCGAGTTGGTATGTAATCTCAACAGCGATGGTTGCGGCCTCCCAGAAACCCTGTCTTCGATTTCTAGAAACGTCGAGCGCACTGGTATTATTTGTGAGGCTCGCGAAAACCAGTTTATCGTACAAGGAAAGCTGCTTGAATCGGCCCCCGTGAACGATAGCGTCCCGGTAGATTTGGAACCTGCCACGGACTTTGAAGAGTGTCTGGAGGCAGAAGTACAGGGGGAGATCGAGTGGCAGTTAGAAAATATCCAATACCTTAGCCACACCGTTTACGTTACCGATCTTTTTCTCCAGTTAACTGGTAAGTCCACATGGTCTACAAGCGAAAGAGGATCGAAGTAGATATCAAACTATCAACACAATGGCCTACTCTCCACTGACAAAACTTCGCAGGTCTATCATCGGACACAACAACCGACCACCAGTTGACATTCACCAACACCGTTATAAACTCGGCTTACAATTTTTCAGAATGGTGCTACATTCTGGAGGAAGAAAGCGCCGAGGACAACTCATGGAAAAACAGTGCTTTTAACATTAGCCTCCTGGATTGGAATGTTTGCAATGATCAATCCGTTTACAGCTCCGGCGTTTACCCTCTCGAGACGAGAGCTAAATTCGACAACCAAACATATACGCTCTGGATTCAACAGACATATTACTGCTTAGACAAGTCAACCGGGAAGCGGTAGGTACACTTGTGTTCAAAAACGACAGGAATGATGAACGTTGGCTTGCTAAGATGTATCAATAGGGTTGAGAAATTCACTGCTGCTGGCGAAAGGGTCCTCGACGAGATGGTCTGCGAGCAAAAACTGGTTGATGAGAATAATCCAGAGTCTGCAGTATTATATTCATCCTGTAGCTTGAAGAACGCAACGATGGCGGGCGCTCTCATCCGCGGAGGCAAGACAGCCGAAAACCAAGAGCGGACTTAAGTGAGACATCATTGTGACCTCGAGAACTCGTAGGAGGGGGCTGGACTAGGTATTTGAAGAATCAATCATGTTCCCGAGTCTCACAGCCGTTTCCATGTTCCTTTTCGGCGTGCATCGTGTGTTAGGCCGCTAGGTTAAGGCGATTCGAAACTTGTTTAAGACGCGGCTGCCAGTTTAGCGCTCTGATGACACAGTTCACCGGCAGCAATGCGCAGCCCAGACAGACCAGTTGTCACTCGCCAGGGTGGCTTCCCGATACTTACAGTCACAAAATTTTCTTCAGGGAAGACTTCGAAAAAAGTCGCAATTCAAACAAATTCACCGTTAACCAAGCGTCTATTGTCTATAGTCTATCTTGAAATATATATCCCGCGGCTAGAAAATATATTAAAAAAAAAAAACAGAGACAAGTCTATTCGAGGAATCATCGCAGATCCAACCATCCAATTACTCATTTTTCACCATGTGGGCCCAATGCATCTCACCGGTTGCAGCCGAGTCCGGCACGACATACTTGCATTCGGTAAATGTGGGCCAAAGCTTGTCGACAAACGTGTGATCGCTGTGATACAAGTCTCCCAAGATGGGCTTGATAGCCTCAGTCGCCTCATCGGCGTAATAGAAGGGGATTTTACTATGGTACCCGCGTGTTAATAGTCAAATAATTCCCGTTGGGAATTGTGGGGGAGGGGGTTCATTGCTTCTTACGAGAAGAGATGGTGGACAACGTGTGTCTCAATGATGCCGTGGAACAGGTTTCGGCCAATGAAGCCGAAGTCCCGATCGATGGTCGCGAGAGCACCCTTGACAAAGGTCCAGTTTTGGGCATCAAAATGAGGGAGATCGGGATGCGTGTGATGAAGGTAGGTAATGGCCACTAAGGAGGATAGTTAGTTGATGAGATCAATTTCAACGGTAACATATTTTCTCTTCGGCAATGCCTCAGCGGTTTACTCACCCAGCCAGTGGTGCACCCAGAAATATGGCACGCCATAGAGCAAAAACATGTTCCATGCCCCGAAAATGGTCGTGCCATAATAGATCATAGCGGCGGTAATCAAGATACCGATATCGGTGATGAAAACGTAAAGCCTCTCGCTAGGCCTGAAGATGGCACTGGTGGGGTCAAAATGGCTTTGAGGCCACCATCCCGACGGCTCGCGCTGAAGGCTGTCGACGCCGGAAGTAACATTGAAGAAAAGGTACGCCTGCCACCCGAACAGCTGATGGGAGAGTAGTCGGATCAGGGACACAATGGGAGCGTCCTCAAAGAGATCGCTATCGACCTTGAAGATGCCCAAGAATCGCCGGTTTCGATGTTGTTCCTCGGTTCGAGGCACAAAAGCCATATCCTTCTCCATGTGACCCGTGAAGCGGTGATGGCGTGCGTGGGAGAACTTCCAGGAGTAGTAGGGCACGAGCAAGAATGAGTGCGCAGCCCAGCCAATGACGTTGTTCACACGAGTATGCAGAGAGAAAGCACCATGGCCACACTCGTGGGCGAGAATCCAGAGGCCGGTGCATGCCAGGCCCTGCACAAAGCCGTACACGGTCCAGGCTGCGGCATGGAGGTACGAATTCTCGACCTGGGGTATATAGGTTATCGCGGCGTAGGCAAGCGCGGAAATGAAGGCGATATCCCGCACGAGGTACGCGCAGGATATCCACAGGGATGGTTGGAAGCAGTGTGCCGGAATGGCATTACGGAGGGTGTTGATGTCGGGATATTCCGTTCTCGGGGATCGATCCGTCTTTGTCTGGCGCTTCTGGCATGATTGTTAACACTCCAAATGCATTACAATTGTATTCAATCAACTCACCGAAACACGGGTGGCGGCGCCATTGGCACTCGCCGAAAATGTGCTTTGTTCAGTCTCCGGCCTCAGCCAAAAGAAGAAGGCGGCTGCCGTGGCCGCAAGGGAAGACATGGCTGGAAAATTTGAGAGTACAGCCGGATTGAGAAGGAAACCGAAGCACACAACAGAAAAATTCTTCTCAAGAAAACGGAGAAGAAAAAGGAAGAAGAAAAAGACCGAAAGGACCCGGAGAAGGGAGAGAACAAAGCCATGGTCGACTGTTACCCTTGGATTATATGGCTTCGAGAAAACCACGCTAAATCCAGGGGCTGAAATTTTTTTTTCTTCTCAAACAATGCTACCCTAAACCTTATCGAGATTGAGCCTATTTTGACCCAGGTCCTGGGCCAGTTCAATTGGTTGCTTGGACTGGCTGCCGAGCCGTGGTTACAGGGACAGGGGCCTCTTTTTTTTTTTTCCCTCCTCCCTTTTTTTCTCTCCCTCGGAGCGAGCGTGGGATCTGATCGCCCATGCTGGCACCTGCCGAAACAGAGTTTGAGCCTCGGAAGGACCCACATCGAAATCACCTCACTCTTGCTCCTCACCGCTCAATCAGTTCTAGCTCAGGGTTAGGGTCACTCAAGACCTTATCGGAGAATGGAGATTGTAGGCTTCCAGTGCTAGTTCAGATGAAACTCCGCGGTTCCACCACGAGTTTGCTGTCGGCTCTAATCGATCCCATCAGTATCGTTTCCCGCTCTCACTCAATCGATGAGATGCCGATAACTTTTGAGAGCTAATGGGAACAGCCAATAGGCCGGTCTGGAGGGTTTACTCGGGCAGCACAGTGTCTTCGTTGGTTCGTCCTAGGGTAGAGGAATGCCAGAGCATGACTCCCAGACGTTATAATCCCAACTTGCCTTCTTCTCCGCCGATCTCCCTGCCCTGGCGAAACCAGCAAGTTCTCGATCCAAACACAAACAGATCATGGTTGTCCTGGATGAGCCTCGGCCGCGTCCATGGCTGGATCACGCTCCATGCTATTCGCTGGGCGACAGCTAAATCTAGCTCGGGGTGGCTCGGCCCTCTTATCTACCTCGAGTGGCGATGTCGTTAGGTACCTTCAGGAGGGGCAAACAACCCGGTCTTCCACGTGGACGGAGATTAGTCTGAGCAACCCCAGGGCCCCGCCAATCCGAGCATCTTGAAGCAAGCCTACCCTCATGACTAGACTTTCAAGCTTCTTAAAAATGGCCCATGGACACGACACGGCCTCTTATCTTCCCTAGGGATATGAAAAGGCAAACTGGATCGAGAGGGCAGAACCACCCATACAATCAAGGATGTGGTCGTATTTGGTGAATAGCATCAAGGATAATGCCGCGTTGTCTCATGAGGCGCCTCAGTGAATATAGAAATATCGATCATTCTCGGGGCTTTTCTAGTCGTGATATTAATAAGTCTGCTCCTACCCGTTCGATTAGATTTGAATATTGTGCTGGAGCGAGAGGGAGGGGATGCTTCACACACCCACTGCGGATGTCACATGCAATTCTATCGATCTTGCTCACCCTCCCCTAATTATACTCATCAAACCCGTATGTGTCATTCAAAGACACTCGCGTAATAATACTCCCATCCTCCATCCGTACCCAAGACTGCACTGCCATCTCACCATCGCCATTGTCGTCAAAAGAAAGGCGAAGGACCCGAGCTCCACGGCTCCAATGACCGTAGCCTCCATAACCAGTATGCTTAGCAAAGCATAAGAAAGGGGCTTCCAAGCCGACACCTTTATCGGGCCAGGTACTGCACCAAGAATCTCCGTGGTCATGGCCGACGTGGATGCTATGCAAGCCCTCCGTGGCTTTAATGGCCGCGACAAAAGCCGCATCGTCGGTCCCTCCACCCTGGATGGCCACAGGAACGTCCTCGTTCAGCCCTGGAAATCGTTTGGAATCCAAGCCTAACTCCTGAGCCTGGAGGAAAACGTGTGGCGGGATGTGGACGAAGGCTACACTCGGAATAGCTTTCCCGTACTTTCGTCGCAGCTGTCCATGGGTTTTTGTGAACCAGCACGTGGTTTCGGGGGAAACCCAATTGGGTATGTCGTCAACATCGGCCGGAGAATGCTGATACGAGCTCCCGCCTCGGCTGTCAAAGAACCAAAGGATCACGGCAGGAACATCCTCTGCCCCGTATACTAGGAGGTAATAATTAGTAATTCCAGGCAGCGATGAGTTCATCCGTTTAGTGTAGCAGAGATCGTAGCCTGTTTCGCGCTCAAAAAGAGCCTCCCGAGACAAGTTAAACTTGGAGTCGTGGTTGCCGTATGTTGATGCCCAAGGTGTCCCGGCGTCGACCATTGGCCGTACGATTTGATCAACATAAGCGGAGCTGTTTTCTTGGAAGGTATTCTCGCCCGTTATTAAGTCTCCATTAACGACGACGAGATCCGGGTTTTCGTCCTTGAGTATCCGAGTCATCACCCGCGTCGAGTTGATATCCTGGTCGATCCCCCATCCATTCTCCTCCTCGCCGAAGTGAAGGTCGGAGAAGATGACAATGTTGAAAGTATTTTCACGAGTGATCAAGAGAGGTGGTTTGTTGGCTGATAATAGCCCCACCGTCCGAAAGGCGTGATGGGGGTAGCAAGGGTATGTGTACGTTGCCAGGAGACTCACAATCAAGAGGACCATGACGGTGAGGATTATCAGATACACCGACGGCCTGAGGCCTAACCGTGGTAACGATTCTGGGGGCATTTTTAATTCCTTGTGATGTTCATGATGAAGATTAAGTCATCGCTTTGAGAGGAGACAAGAGTGATGGGCTCTTTTGGAGTTCACCAAACTCGGCGGTGGCCAATCAAAGTGAATGATTACATCACGGGTGTGGAGACCCGTGCTTCATTGAAAAGAGTTTTGAGGCAGTGGTCTCGGTCAAGTCTTGACAAAGTCCAAGTCAACGACCACGAAGGACAATTCGAATGCCCGACTGCAATCTGTTTAATTGCCGAGAGCCCACAGCGTCGATTGATCTTGCATCCCGGTCGTAGGCTTCGGGGTCAGACACACTCGTCAAACAGAACCTTGGAGCCACCAAACGAGCCGCCACCTCTGCACAATTATGTGAGGCGCACAAAGAATTTATTCTCTGTTCCCAATCGCGCACTCTCCGCCAGGATCCTGGGCCTCGACCTGCCCAGGTATCCGCTATCAATGTAATGTCGTGTTTTCTGGGATCCGACACATTTACGTCTGTTATACTCTCTAATCTTCCCCCTCGACAGGGAAGTAAGTCTAATCGTGACATTAACTCTCTGCCACTATGCTGGATGCTCTTGAGCTGCGGACGCGGTCTCGCCCAGGGAATTGAGTCGGGCAGCAAAGTATGCAGCAGAAGACGCCTCCGAGGGCGGGTGTTAAGAATTTGATTTCTGAACAGATATAATAATCTCCATCCGTCGATACCTGCAACGTAAACATGGGCTCCTCCGGACAATCAAACGGCCAACATTAAGACATCTAAATTTATATCACCATCTCACATCAATTGATGGCTGGCAGTAGCTCTGGTTAACTCTGAACGGCTCTTGCCCTCGGCTTAGAGAGAGACTTAGTTCTACTAAGGATAATATATTACTTCTTTGCATGGATGTCGTCGGCTTGGTGAGCCTCGAAAACGTGGCATCCGAATACCCGTTCCACCCGGTGCTAAAGGGTTAAAATCAAAATTGTAATACCGGCTTGGGACGAAAATCAGATCGAAGAGTGTACCGGGAACCCACCGCCCGTGATTTCCCCGCATCGGATATTTATGCTCGATATTGATGAACCGCTAGGCGTTGTCTACCTGTATATTTGCGATATATTAATCGCCTCAAGTTGAAAATTAGCCTAGAGTCACGCACAAACAAGACTATTTTCCCCTCCGGACAAAGGGGAACTCGAAAAATGATCTATATTTACTCAATCGCCAAGCCCCGAGCGACGAGAATGAAGACTCTTCAAGCCTCTTTACCTACTATTCAGATAGGTCATCTTCGTCTTGAGTATTCCTGAGTTAGTCTTGATCCGGCGTCAACATGCAGTTACTGGCCACACTCGCCGGTTTCGCTGCCCTTGCAACGGTTGGCAACTGCCAATTAACTAAGGTCAATGACTTCAAGGGCACCCCTACGAACCTGGGCATGTACTCGTATGTGCCAAAGAATCTCAAAACACCAGCGCCTATTCTCGTGGCTGTCCATCACTGCCAAGGATCCGCTCAGGGTTACTCGACGGAGACCCGCTACATGCCCTTGGCGGATCAACATGGCTTCATCATAATCTACCCCAACTCCAAGTCTGGCGGTGGCTGCTTTGATGTAGCCTCGACGGCTTGTAAGTTCTTACGTCCCTCATTATACCGACCGATCAGAGGCTCATGAATATGAGACTTACTGACGGCACTACAGCTCTCACACATGATGGCGGCGGTGACAGCCAGACAATTGTCAACATGGTCAAGCATGCAGTGGAAAACTTTGGCGGAGACCCAGAGAGAGTTTTCACTGTTGGCACTAGTTCCGGTGCCATGATGACCAACGTGCTTGTTGGGGCTTACCCTGACGTATTCAAGGCTGGTTCCGTTTATTCTGGCGTTCCCGATGGATGCTTTTTTGTCCAGGGAGCGACTGCCACGCAAGACCCCCCAGGCTGGGCCAACAGCTGCGCCAATGGTCAGCTCACAAAGACTGCAGAGGAATGGGGTGATATGGTGAGGTCGTACTATCCGAATTACAACGGCACTCGACCCAGGATGCAAATGTTCGTATCATCTCTTCATCTCCCTTCGATTGTACGACGATTTTGTTTACATAAACTAACTCATGCATGACCGCAGTTGGCATGGAACGGCGGATAATACCTTGCGTTATCCCAATTGTATGTATTATCACGCATCCTCCGTTTCAATCAAGCCGAAAATGCTAACTATTTCACTTAGACCAGGAGCAGCTTAAGCAATGGTCGAACGTCTTCGAGCTCACGGAAAAGACGGACACTGCCAACTCTCCGCAGAGTGGATACACCATGACAATCTACGGCGAGGGCACGGCAACAACGGCACAACTTGTGGGATATAGTGCCCAGGGCGTCGGCCATAGCGTGCCACAGCATGAGACAATGGACATTGCATTCTTTGGAATAGGGTCGTAGTCAAGCACGCATAACAAGGAGACCGAACTGGTTGCGAGTTTGCATTTCAGAGGCCTACCCTATGGAACAGGATGTTAAGTAAACAAGCTCTTTGGCTTTCCAGTGTACTAGTCAAAGTTTTCTCGATATATATTGCCTATATAAGCGGCCCATTCCGTGTCCGTGATCTTTCGTGATGTTGTTCCCTGATGTGGATCGTTTGGCGGCATAATTAGGGAAATGTCCGACTCTGACGCTAGGGCCTATGTCGTCCTTGCCCCACCCACTTGGTGTATCAGCCATCCTGATAATATCTCGGGCGAGCAATACTGAGTGCATGTTGCCTACACCCCCAGTAGAGAAGCCAGATGCTCATATTACATGTGCGGCACAGCAAAGAAGCTCTGAGTATGGCGGCAGCGCATTTCATTTCGAGCATTGGAGTGCAATGATTACTCAGTGTGTCGTTTTGTGTGTGTGGTGAATATCCTGGAAACTCGAGCCTCGGGACATTGAGTGCCGTGTGCCACACATGTCCTCCAAGATCGTCTATGAAGAACGTCGCTCAAAACCCTGCCTCCCCACGTCTTCTCTTTCCAGGGATGGCTCCTTAGTGAGTACCGACGCCAAGACGCCAAGACAGGAGAAACTTGCCATGACCACTCACAAGGTGTGAAAAGGCTCCTGATATAAATTGGACCCCCCCTTTGCTGACACCCCCCACTTTCTGACACCCTTTTCCCATACAAAACAGCGATTTGCAGGGGTCTATATCTCCACCAACTCTTTATAAATAATAATAAAATTTTATATATAGGTTCTTTTTATAGTTACTAGTAAGAAAAAAAATATAAATATAAAATTTAGTAAAATGGTAGTATATAATAAGTAGTTAAAGTATAAATTTTAAAATACTATATAATTATATATAAACTAAAACTAAATATAACTAAAGTAATTTTATATATTATATAATCAAAAAATATATAACTAATCTTATAGAAAATTAGCTTTTTAAATATATTATTTTTTACTTTATAAGTATTATTATATTAAAGTATTATAGTAATACTTTTTCTCCTATATTAAAAAAAAAGTACTTTCTAGAACTAAATATTAAAAAAATATTATAGCTTAGTTCTCTTTAGTATAATATCTTACTTATATTACTATACTATATATTAAATTTTATTATCTATAGTTTACTTATTATAACGTTATTTAAGTTTTAAGTTTATATATAATATGTATAGAATTTAATACTTTATAGTTTAACCTTCTATTATTAACTACTCTTTTCTTAAATTTTATATTTAACTTCTTTTATAAGATAAATTTATTAAAAAGAAGCTAGATTATAAGTTATATTAATATATATTAAGAATTGGTGGAGATATAGACCTTAGAAAACTATAACTTTTTGCTATTTTGTATGGGAAAAGGGTGTTAGAAAGTGGGGGGTGTTAGCAAAGGGGGGGTCCAACTTACTTTAATGAGCTTTCGCATATCCCCATCCAACAAGTTGAGGTCGCCAAGGGAGGGAATGAGACCAATCGCTCGGGTGGGGTCCCTCAGTACCTCGAGTGCCTCAGGAAGCTCTGCAAACTTGGCAGCAAGGCTTCTCTGAAAGACCGAACTGAAGACGGCGGCACCAATCGATTGGCCAATGAGGGCGCCAAAGAGTCGGAAGACGACGAGGAGCCCAGCAGCGATGCCCATGTCGTCGACACGCTCGACACCAGCTTGCAGCTGGATGGCCGTCGTGGTAAAGACGGTGCCAATGCCAACCCCGAGGAATGCCTGCAGGCTGTAATTCTCAGCCCAAGATGTGTTCTCGCCTACACGGCTCCATAGCCCCAGGAAGACGGCTGTCAAGACCCAGCCGAAGCAGAGCTGCAGACGGTAGCGGCGGGTCAGCTCCATGACGATGGAGGAGACGAAGCTGAATCCCACCGATACTAGGCACACCGGGAGGGCAGAGAGGGCGGCGCGTAGTGGTGCCCGGAGGAAGATGGCCTGGAAGAAGAGGGGCAGGTACAGGATCAGGGAGTACATGATCATACCATTGAAGAAGCCTGAGACTAGCGCCGTGCCGAGCGTGATGCCGGAGAAGATACGGGGCGGGAACACAGGCTCGACAGGCCTCGCCTCGTAGGAGATCAACGTGACGAGGAGGAGCGCTCCCACGATCAGCGGGGTCAAAGTCTTCCACGACGCCCAGGGGTAAAGAGCGTCGGCCCAGCTCAGCGACAGGGCAAAAAAGCTGGTGCCCGTTGCGAAGAGAAGCATCCCGCCCCAGTCCAGGCAGCGTATCTTGGCAGCGAGCGTCATGTCGAGGGGCTGAAGATGTAGGAAAAAGAAGATGAGCAAGAGAACTATGCCAGTGAAGGGCAGGTTGACCCAGCCGATCCACCTCCATTCTACATAGTCGGTGAAGGCGGCGCCGACGGCGGGGCCTGTCACACTGCCCACTGCGATAGCCAGGGACATGAATCCAATGTAGAGGGGGCGTTCCTTAAGTGTCGTGATGTCGGAGAGAATGACGGCCTGCAGGACGTCGAGACCGCCGCCGCCCAAGCCTTGCAAGACGCGCCCTAGAATGAGAATTGACATGTTGTTTGCCAGGGCAAATACGATCGACCCGACTGAGAAGACGACTGTAGCTGCGTAAAGCGGGAACTTGCGCCCTAGGACATCCGACACGCTGGAGTAGATAGGTTGTGTCACGACGACGCCGAGCATGAAGGCAATGCTGGCCCAGAATGACTCAAGAGTTGTACCGTGAAGCTTGCGAGTGATTGTCTGCAGATTTTAAGTCAGAAGCCAAGAAAATGGAAGAGAACTTCGAAAGACTTAAAACAGTACTTGGGTGAACGTACAGGAATGGCTACGGCAAGTGTCGTTGCCTCCCAGGACACGACGAACGCGACAAGGGCAAGCATGGTAATCGACATGTAAAAGGAGAGTGTCTTTTTCGGCTTGACGGCCTGCTCTTCTTCCACTGTACCTAGACCATCGTCGAGCTCCAAGAACTGCGAAGGCCCTGTCCCACGCCGCTTCCGAGGCGGTTGCTCGGGAGAGGCCGGTTCAGCCTGATCATTGATTAAGTTGACCATGTTAGACGGCGATTCAGAGAGATCTGAGCTCCGGAAACGGGTATCTGGGGAACTGGCACAATCACTACCCGTGCAGGATCCCATGAACATACGAAAAGGAAGATGATGGTGCCCCTGTGTAACCAACGAAGCAAACATTTATCGGGTAAGGATTACCCAACATACATACGAAGGATCAGCCCATAGCTCCACATATCAGGTCATGGATGCACGGATCCAGTGTATATCTAAATCTATACATTACAGCAGACCTGTACATTGAGTAGCGCTGGGTTGAGGACGTGAAACTGAATGGAAGTCTAGTTGGTAAGGCTAGCGGCTACATTGAAGCGATTCCAACCACCTCTTCTGTTCTCAGAGTGGGTGAACGACAATCGGGAAATCACAGGTAATATCAAATGCGTATGTTACGCCATTCCACGTCCTGCAGCGACATTCTCCAACTCGGCCTACATGTCATTGCCAACCAATGTTACTGGATGTCGTGAACCAAAGGCGAGAAGCTTTATGCCAGAATGGAACTCTACACACAAAGTTTCAACAAATATAGCGGGACATGTATCGCGAATACCGGATTTCAGCTGATTCTCATGCAATCCAGACTATTTCGAGCTTGGTCTTATCAAAGGCCTCTCCATACATTATTCCATGAAGATAGCAATCACTCTGGAGCTTCCAATTATCCCCATCCCTTTGGAGCACCAATGGTACCTTTCCACCTTTCGGAATAGCAATTCGATCTCCAGGAGCTACTCGCACATTGCCCAAGCCAATGTATCCTTTCTTCGTGCGAAATAATTTTCGATCGGCGAGAGGACAGGTTGACACTCCGAAGGGATATGCGATTGAAGATGCGGGCACCCTGAGTAATTTTGCAAGGAAGGACACGACATATCTCTCGCTATTAGAGGGAAGTAGAGGGCCTAGACGTCTCATATACCGGATGAGACGCGCCTGTCGATCAAGAATGTTGTATTGTTGTCTCATGAAAGGCATATCAAGATGCGTCGGGCCGCCCACTAGTGTCTGAATGAAGGCATCTAAGATCGGCTCCGAGCTTGGGTAATCGATGCGATCCGTTGCTCTGGTCACGGTCCTCCATTCGTCCAGCATGTAGGCGGACTTCGGGAGTCTCAGGACTCCAGGGTACCCATGTGGTATATCGTCCACCACCATCGTCTTTCCAACGGTATCGACAGAGTCCACCCAGCAGCATTCCAGACCGAGAAGGAGTCCAGTCTCGTCGAACTGCACAGCCGGCTTAGAGCCACCGCTGGCGTCGTATCTAATCTCATATATATCGTCTTGGTTCTTTAAGCCCACCGCTGGAGATTGCCTAATGACTCTCCAATCTGGTGTCCAACTTGGAAGCCCCTCGGGATGGTCAATATCGAGACCACGAGGAACGGAGAGAACATTCAGGTCCGTGCCACGCTTCAACATCTCAGTAGCAACCTGGCGGTAGAGAACGAACGGCTCAATAGTGTAATCGACATGGGACATTAAACTCCTTGCGAGCGAGCAGCTCGCCAATCCTGCCACGCCGTATATCTTGTCTCTGGGGTCTGTGGCATCGAAAAGTCGGTGTCGATACGTAATGGCGAGAAGGTCCCGTTCTACACCGTTTTGAAAGTCATCTCTGGTCTGAATGATCATCAGAGGTGGGCCATTTCGGTCGTGATGACTTGTGTAGAGGTCTAATTGATTTTGAAGCACTGCCGCGTTCGTAAAGTCTTCCCACGTCATGGTCGCCTTGCCGCAGTGGATCGTGATCTTTGCTGCGACAGCGGCCTCCTGGACAACCCACGTTCTGGAGAACCAGTTTCGGTCGATAATCTTGGAAAATGCGTTGAATCTAGCCCATTGGGACCGGTGTTTGAATGGCCCAAAGGTGGAGACAACAAGAGAGTCGCCAGGCGGCAGGTTCTCGAGCGTCTCGCGGTGCTTCAGATACTCACGCCCAGCGTCTGCGAGATCTTGAGCCGCTTGCATACCGATGTCACTGTCGTCCGTTTCCTCACCAAGCCAGACGATAACCTCTGCTGCGGCGAGGAATATATCCTTCATGAGCCCGACCTGTCGGCCTCTTTCTTCCAGATCATCTTGATTGATGCATATCGCATCGGCCCAGAGAGTTATGGTCTGGTCAGACTGCCGTCTGTGAAGCAATGCGGCGTGGAGGTTGTGTCTGATCGGGAGTTTCTTTCCATTGCATATAATGATGTGTTGAGGTTGAGGAACGTCCCAGCAGTATGATAGAGCGGCGTAAGATGGACGGCCCTCCAGCGACGTGTGAGTGAGGTCGCACTCGACCAGGTCATGGTCTGTTCCTGGGTGCAGATGCAGTGCACGATTCAGATGGAGAATTCGAAACATGTCTCCCAGAAGTTTGGGACCCAACTCATGGTAATTGAGGGGGTTAAGATCCATTACGGAGGTCGATCCACTGGTGCAGCCCTGTGACGGGCGGAAGCGGGGTTCGGTGGGAACTAGCGGGGTTGGCAACTTGGCAGGGTCTCGTAGGGTTTGACAACCTTGGTGTGGCCTTGAAAACCGGTTTTCACTTGGGATTGCCGAGGTTTGAGTGGTCTAAAGAAGCGGGCGCTAATTGAGTCTGGTGGAAGCGTGTGACAAATTCGAGGACCGAGGACTGACAACATGCACGATCCCAAAGGGTCCCAAAGGGTTCTGAATGGCGATAACGGATATCCGGAGAGAGGTGGCCGGGAACAACCGTCCCAGCCTGGTTGGGAGATGGTATGGATTTTAATGCCTCTCTTCGAGGACCTTGACAAGCCTGAAGTCCTCCTCTCTGACGTGAACATACGAGCTGTTGTGATCAGTCATAATCAACAATGTAGAATCACTTGACAGCACCGCCGCAGTGATTGAGTCTTACTGCAGGAGACTGCCAATGAAGGATCGTGACGGGGCGGGGGACATGCTCGAGTCAGCTCTTATTGGCAGAAAAATGCATGGATTTGAGGTTATGGTTGTAATATTAGTCTGCGGCTTTCCGTTTTCCGTGACATTCTCGGTTAGACTTCTTCAAAATGCAAAGCCAGCCAGGCAATTTTGCAGGGAATTTCGCTGACCAGACATGATGCCGCAGTCGTTAATCCTTTTGTACTAAATTTATCCTCATGCCCCCTCTGCTCCCGAACCGCAAAAGACGTTAAGCTCTATTGTCTCGTGGCTACTTTGGTGGAGTTGGGCATCCCTATGGAGAGGAAACCCGATGCAACGAAAGTGGGTTCTTGCCCGTGAACACAACCCATTCGAGACCATTATCATATCAAGAACCTACGGGCAAACTGTATGAGATGATGTATTTGCAAGGCAGGCTCCGACTTCAGGCTTTTCTTGGTGCGTTCGAGTTGCTGGAATCTCTGCAATTTAACTGTAATTAAGTATATCTCACACTATTTCCATTCCACCGTTTATTTGCTGAAGGTAAATGTGGATGGACAGGAAAAGCGGATTAAAGGGAAGGGTTGCATTGCATTGCAATAACAGAGGGATGTCCCTGTTGTCCGAAGAATATTAGTACATCTGATGCATCATGTGCAGCGTTCAGTCTTCTGTCACCATGGGAATGTTGACTCTTCTCGCTTCGGAATTGCCCTCGCTTCTTCATTGATGTCAGCGTCGTCACCTTCAGACCGGACCTAACATTGAAAATTTCATGGTCCGTTACCACCGCAGTGTGGGTTGGAGACGGCAATGACAATTTGCCCCTACTGACCACTGAGACATTCATGCATGGACAATGGTGAGAAAGAGGGATCGTCACCGATTTCGTCCCGGTTTCTTCCATCCTTGACTGTCTTCCGTGGTGTCCCGACAAAATGGAGTCAATGGGGGCTGTTGTCACAGAATTCGTTCGAAATATTGAACATCTCGCCGCTGGAGAGGAGATTACCGCAGTAGGATCCGCACTTGTGCCCTTAGAGGAGGACTGCTGTGACAGAGACAGTAAGGCCATTTCAGCTATGGGGTAGGTCGGGAATTAGTCGCCCCCGACGTATATCTTTCAGCTTCATACGGTCCATTATATACAGGATAAGTGCTTGGTGGCGAGTTTGTGGACAGCTTCACTTGCATAGTTGTGCATGTTCATCTACCTCGCATTTTCGTCTCACCAAGGCCGCGATAGTTGTGCAACTTCAATTTCAATGGCATCATACCACATATAGAGAGAGGGAGATGGAGATAGAGATAGAGACAGCCATGTCACCTTTCCTTTACTCTCCATCCGCAACTCACAACGTTTCAACAATCCCTCTCGAGCAGTCATTCGACTTAACCATTAACCACAATGTGGCACTGTAAATTAGCTTTCTAATTCACGCCCTCGGTTCTGGAAAGAAAACAACGAAGCATATACAATATTAATGCGCGTCTAGCTTAGTGGTGTGCTGGTCCATTACTTGCTGCGCGTGCTGCAAAGCCTGCTAGTGGGTCTAGGACGGCTGACCCTCTAGACCTTCTTCCTCCTCATCCTCGGGTGGCTCATCAGCAAAAAGATCCTTGATTGATCCCGAACCTGTTGCAGTCTGATAGATGGCAAAGGTTGTGGCGAATTGCCTGTGTGCGCCGACATGAATGGCGTCGAGCATAGCCACGGCGAAATTTTGGCAATTGTTACTGATCAAATTGTATGCGGCCTTTATACGCCTCATATTGTAGATGACCATCTCGCCTAGGATGGGACGGCAAACTCGTTAGATTCGCCAACGGCGCTTGAGTTGCGAAGTGAGTCGATGCGAGTGCTACTTACCAACCTGCCTGAGGGCTTCGTCGTTAAACCTGGTCTTCCCAACCTCGAACGTGCGCCACTCTTCTCGATTGACAACTCCATTTATGTAGATGACGTCCAAACGCTCATCCTAAATACCCCCGAGTTAGTCTCGGGCGTCCGACTTCAAGGGAAGCAAAGTACCGCACCATCCAAAGTTCGTGAGAATAACCACCGACAAGCACAGCCCAGTGCTGGGTCGGGTCAGGGTACTTGTTGATCTTTTCGGTGATCAACTTGCCCAGACCAGTCTGTTCGGCGAACCATTTACCCGCTCCCCCTGCGACGGGATGCCAGCCGATCTCGACCGTTCGGTGCTCACCGCGGATATTTGGCTCGCCGGGAGGCACGACGTTCGGCTTGTGACCTAGTCCGAGAGCCTCCTCTATCGACTTCTCCACCTTTGACTTTCCCTTGACGAGTTCGACCTTTCCCCTTGACAGTCCCTCTTGCCTGGATTACATATTAGTTGATTTCCGCCAACGGTGCCCGACGTTTACGGGTTCGTCTCACCAGAGGGATTTCAACTTGTCCCGGGTGGAGCTGGAGTTGGAACCCCCGTCACTGTCGGGTGGCGTCTCCTCTCTCGGAGTCTCTTGCGGAGTCTCCTGCCGCGGCTCTTGCGGCGGCTCTGTCGGCATCTTTCGTGATGTCTTCGACTCTAGCACGCTAACCTTTGCGCTTGACACGAAGTTCTTCAGTCGTTTCATGACGGCTACAGTCGAGAATGTGGTCGAGGGAGATTGGGGGTGGGTGGCTGATCGCGAGCTGAAAAGTAGCGCCCGGGTGATCTTCGGGCTGAGCAAACAATTGCCATTGAACGAAGCTGGAAAGCGCGTGCGTGGAAAACGACGATTCAATGGGGCTGATGCTTACTTCCGTCTCTATTTTCGAATTTTCCGTTGCGCATTGCGTGCCGAGTCCCGAGAACGACAGGGCACATTATCTAGATCTTCTCGATCCACATCTCCACGACACCACAGCGACTGAGCACTTCACTTTCCGACCCCATTTATTAAAGCTCAATAAAGAAGACCAAAACAACTCCCCCCAAAACAACATGACCTAATTATAGCCAGTCCCTTCTCGTCCAAAGCTCGGATGGCCCCTTCCTTTCCTTTCCATAATTGCAAGGCCCTCACCAGGTTTCGTTTCGATCAGCTGCATCTCCATGATTCTCTCGTAGAAGGGTACAGAACGCCCCCAATCTGCGGTGAAAAGCATGCTCCGTCGAAGATGGGGCATCCCCTCAATGACTTCCTGAACGCATTTTACTAGCCAACTTCCAAGCCCTTTCCCTTGATATGTCGGGTTCACCCATACGTCTGTGAGATAGACAAACGTGACGAAATCCGTAACGCAGCGAGCAATTCCAATGAATTTTTTCTCCGTGTTCGCAAGGGCTGACAGGTCTTGATCTCTGGGGGAGGAAGGCAGTTCATAGAGCCCGAAACAAAGCGAATTGTCCAACATCTCTTCCATGGCGGATGGGGGAAGCGTTTTTGCCCAGTAGAAATCATCGGAAGCGAAAACGTCAATTAACGTAGACATTGGGACATGAGCGGGATCCGTCGAGATGAGATAGCGATCTTTTGTCCATGTGCAGCCCCGGAGCTTCAGCTTGAGTGAAGATGCCATTATCGTCAGGCACGAAGAGAGTCTTTAATACTGCTTGATGCTGACGGAGTTGCGTGTGGGGAGTTGAGGAAATATCGAATTATAGTTTATAATTTTATAGAGACAATGCACTGAGTGCTCTTTTCTCGAAAGTCCCCGCCCTTTTTAAATCAACTTCTCGCCGCGGTCATGGAAAGGGCGCCAGAAGTCAATTCTCCGCAGACCCTATGAGTCAGATGACTGTTATAGCGTATGGCGAGTCATGTAGGTTCAAAAAGCCAAGACACCCTAGCAAGTTGGAATTTCGATGGAGGTGTCGAGTGTTGGAAGAAGTGGTGTGGAGCCAAGCCCAGTAGTGAAACGAGAAAGGGTCTAGCTCAGCTGATTCAAACAACTTTCTATCAAACTAACAATTCCTAAAAAGGAAAATACTACATCGATCGATATAATGTTTTCAGTGTCCTAGAAACGGGCAAAACGCTGTAGAAAAAGAGGCTTTTGCCGACATCGGGTATAATAGAATAATTAGATAGAAGAAATAGTATCTTTTTATTTTTCCTAGTATATTTAAGAAAAAGAAACTTATATAATATATCTTTTTAGAAATAAAATTAAAAAAAAGATAGTAAATATAAATAAAAATATTTTTTAAATTAATTTTTCTATAATTAATATAATAATAATTATTTTTTTTAGATTTAAATATTATAGCTATATTTAACTAAAATAAAAAGCTAAATAGTTAAAACTAATAAAAAAAGATAAACTATAAAAATATATTAAATTATAAAGATAATAGATTACTTATACTTATAATAATCTAAAAGTAATTTAAATTATATAAGATTATAGTAAACTAAAATAATCTAGAAAAAGCTTAAAAAAATATTTATATAAACTATAAGTTTTATTATATATCTAGTTTATCTTTTAAAACTCTTTAATAATTAATTTAAATATAACTATTATATTAGTATATAGGGTAACTAGTAGTAGCACCACTACATTACAGGTCGATAACACTACGAAAGTCTGGAATATTATATATTTAACCTTTACTTATATATAAAAAGCTATAATAGCTCTTATTTTATAAAATAGAACTTAAGAAGGGATAGTAATATAGAAGAAGGTAAAGTATAATAAATTATACTATTAAGAGGCTTTAGTAGATATCTAAGCTAACTAACCCTTACTAAGCATTGCCCCTAGTAACCTATTTCTAATAAAAGACTTCTTTCTAACTAGATTTTAACTATATTCTACTTTCTTTTTCTTTTCTTTTCCTTATTAAAACCTTTCTATATAATAGGCCTCTATTAAATAGTACTATTTAACTAAACCCTTATATTAGGTTTTAATTACTATAAATAATAAAAAAGGATTAGAGTTTAACTCCCTATAAACTATAAAGATAAATTAGAGCCCTACCCCCTACAAACTATAAAGATAAATTAGAGTTCTACTCCCTATAAACTATAAAAAAATCCCTATCTCCTATAACCTAAATTATAAAAATAGAAAGATAATTAAATACTATTAAGTAAATTACTAATAATAATAATAATAAAGATAGTAGAAAATATATTTATAGAACTTAAAAAAGCTCCTAAATAATAAAACCCCTTTATAATAATTATAGCCTAACTTTAGTATATTATTAAAAAATAAATAAAGTAGAAGGAAATATATAAAGCTTAGATTAAGATACTATAAGAAAATATAATATAGTTAACTTCTCAAGCCCTTACTCCTATAATTTATATACTAAATCCTAAATATAATAATAATAATAATAACAATAGTACTAAGGATATTACCTAGCTATAGAATATATAAAGACCTTAACTTACCTTACCTAACCCTTCTAAATTTAATAGATATAAGAACAAGTTCTATATATAGCTATTTAAGATAAAAAATAAACTCTATACAGATATTAAAGCTATTAAAGATAATAATACCCAGTTTGTCGGAGCCGAGCAGCACAACCCAACATCACAAACAGGACTGCCGCTCGCCCACTGGAATGACTGGCAGCGGCTGAAAGCCACGCCACGAGGGAGAAATCTTCTGATAGTCGTCGGATTGGTCTAATGGTCAAGTAGGGCACTTGAGAAGTCATTGATCAGTCGGAATCTGCATCGCGGAGCTTCACATCTAAAGGGAAGAAGAAGGAAACTTAAAAATAAGAAAAAGTGTTATTAAGAGAAGAATAGTAAAAGATTGACCTTCACGACAACTCGCCGGCCGGCAGGGAACGACTGATTGCTCGCTGCTGCAATGCCGCCCTTCGCCTTCTTCTGCGCTGCTGTCCTTCTTAAGTTCTGTTCTACGAAATGAGGGCCGCTATGGCCTTTTATATGTAAGTGAAGGTTGGATGTGCGGCACTCCGGACTTTCGTGGCGTCACCGATCCGTAATGTGGCGGCGCCACTGCCAGTCGCCCTGTACACCAACACACCAGTTTAGCTATATATTCTCTTACTTAGACTCAACCCCCTAGTAGATATATACTATCTATATAAAGTTTAATATCTCTTATAAGTCTTTAGGAAACTTCTTAAAGTATTTTTATAATTATTATAGAGACTTAGATAAGGAAAAGAAAGCTTTAAATAAATTTAAAAAGCTTAAGTAAAAGGAAAACTAGCTCTTTACTTATTTTTATTCTAAATTTAAAGTAATATTAGTTAATATAAGAAGAATAATCTAGAATAATAAAATAAAAAAAGTAGACTTAAAGCTAGTACTTAATAATAAGCTATAGAAAGTAGTTATTAACTAGATCTTAATATCTAATAACTATTATAAATATATTAAAGCTTTTTAGAAATTAAATTCCTAATTAGAAAGCTTTTATATAAAAAAGAAATATTATTAGAGCTTTTTATATATACTAAATATAAAGACTAAGAAAATAAAATAAGAATTTATACTAGTTAATATTAAGTCTTATTACTAACTATCCCCTAACTAGCTATAAAAAGGATATTTAAAAGAAGAAAATAATATTTTAAGAAGGAAGTAAGTTAAATAAGTAGATAAGGAAAAGTAAGAGTATTAGTAGAAAGAGAACTACTATTACTAGTATAGAAGGTAGTAATATAAAATTAATACCTACCTACTACTACCTACTAGAAACCTTTATTAGATATATATAAGAAAAACTAAACCTATTAAAGTTTATTAGGCTAAAGTTAAAGAAGAAGATAAGTTATAAATAGATTAGAATAATAATTTAGAGAAATTAGGAAAAAAATAGCTCTTATTAATAGTTACTAGTAAAAGTAAAAGTCTTTATAAGATAAGCTATAAAAGTTAAAAGTAAAGTTTAATATAGATATATTTTATATTAATTTTAAAATAAATAATTTTTATTATATATAAGCTCTTATTAATATAAAGTATTTAATATATAATATTATTAATAAAGCCTTTACTAACTAAGTAAAGATAAAATATATTAATATTATTTCTTAATTTCTTTAAAAAGTTATTTCTAATAATACTACTATTAACTAAATTATATATAGTAGCCTTAATATAGATAATTATAAATAAGTAAGAGTTTTCTTCTATATTATTCCTAATTAAATAGATAATATTATTTTTAATCTCTAATAAATAAGATTATAGAAAGTAATTATTAATATAACTAAAAATAAACTAATATTAGATAGCTGGTTCTAAGTTAGAATTAGAGATAATATTAAGAAAAGTAATAAATAAGAAACTATATAGATATTAGTAATTATATTTATAATATTAATATAATAGTTTTATAAAGAAAAAAGGTAATAGAAGAGAAAAGAAATATTAATTAAAGGAATCCCTATAATAGCTTATATATTCTCTACTTTATTAATAAATATTAAAAAAGCCCTTACCTATAAAGCTATTATTAACTTAAAAATAAAACTCCTAGTTTATTATTATAATTTCCTAAACTTATTCTAGAAGTCTAATATTAATAAGTTACTACCCTATTACTTTAAAATTAACTATATTATTAAAGTAGAAAA